GTTCTAGCAAGGACTTAATCAGAAATATATAGCATACAAGTAAAGTATATTTACGGATATCACTCAATTCCTTGAAGAAATAACAGTAAATTTTTTTTCCCATTAATGCAGTGGAGCGTTTTTGTGGGAGAATAAAAATTTACATTGTGAAAATGGTATTATTGTATTTGTATTTGTGGGGTTAATTCCACAAGGCAATTAACAATTGCCAGGAAAGGTTAAATTGTGTAATTTAAAGTCATAGACTTATGTGTTTCGTCGAGTCCGAAAATTATTTCTCGATTCTATGTTTAACATAATTATATATATCGAATCTCAGCAAATATTTTTTATATACTGTTTGAATTGATAATTGATAATTACTAATTAATTATTATAAGTTAGCTAAATGAGATGGCATATAAGTGCAATTAGCAAGCAGCAATGCGTCATACCGGCCCCTATTGTTTATTCCTCATGCAATTTGTATAAAGTACAGAATGATGGGACAGTGACATATGGGCAATTATTAAATGTGCTAATAAAAACATGTTACACTTAAATATCAAATTACAGAGCCAATTTTTATCTTAAATATATTAAAAAAAAATTGTGAGACAAAAGAGCTGCGTTGTCTTAATTAATTAATTAACTTAATCCGGATAATAAGGAACATGACTCGCACTGCATTAATAGCTATTTCTTAATTTTGTTATTTTGAGGCGAACTGTTGTTGTCAAATCTGTCGTGTCGTGTGCTTCTAATATTTATATATGTGTTTTATTTCCACACACTACTGTTTCAACTAATGAACTGAATTGATATTAAAGCATATTCAAAATACTTTTTATATGCTTCAAATTCTTTATTATAAAGAGTTTATCCATAAAAATAGGATTTTAAAAATATTTTTAAAAGATTCTTTATATAATCCAAACTCTTTATTATAAAGAATCTATCCATAAAAATAAGAGTCAAACATACTCTTTATCTTTAAAATATAAATTAAAGAGTGACTTTAGCTCTCCACATTTAGAGAGCCAAATTTCACTCTCTATCTTAATTTTAATTAATAAACTATAAATTCTTATGTATTTTATTTATTAATTCTCTCTCTTATTAAGTCTCTTTCTTAAAAATAAAGAGTATTTTTATTAAATTTAAAGAGTCTATTAGATTTGAATAAAAATTGTGTTCTTTATATTTAAAAATTAATTAAGATGCTCTTTAAAATAAAGAGTACTATTAAAGAGACTCTTCTAAATGACTATTTATATGATCCAAACTCTTTATTATCAAGAGTTTATCCATAGAAATAAAAGCCTAACAGACTCTTTATTTTTAAAATATAAATTAAAGAGTGAGTTTGACTATCTACATTTAGATAATTAAATTTCACTCTCTATCCTAATTTTAAATAATAAATTACAAGTTTTCATGCATTTTATTTATGATTTATCTCTCCTATTAAGTTTCTTTCTTGAAAAAACATATTATCTCTCTTAAAATTTTAAGAGTCTATTGGATTTGAATAAAAATTTTGTTCTTTATATTTAAAAAACAATAAAGATGCTTTTTATTTTTATGAAAGATGTTCTTTAAAATAAAGAACACCGCTAGAGATGCTCTAACAAATTTTTTATTTTTAAATATAAATTATAAAGTGAGTTTGGCTCTTCATATTTAGAGAGTCAAATTTCACTATCTATCATAATTTTAAATAATAAATTACAAATTTGTATATATTTTATATATAATTTATCTCTTCTATTAAGTTTTTTCTTTAAAAAATATATTATCTTACTTAAAATTTAAATAATTTATTGAATTTAAATAATTTTTTTATATTTAAAAATTAATAAAAATATTTTTTATTTATATAAAAAGATGATGTTTGATCATCGTGTAAACATCAACTCCTTTTATCATTTCTGATGAGACACAGCTGCCCCTACCAATCACCATCAAACAAAACATTAACATACTCAATTTCCTTGGTTGCCTAACTTAGGTCCAATCTACTCAGCAACATGAACCCACGATTATTAATTGTGTTTATGAAAACGAAAAAGTGGTTGAAGTTTACTCCCCCGCCATTGTTATCCATTGACTCGTTAATGGTGATCATCTAAACAGTACTTGACAAGAAGAAAGGAATCTTGGTAATGTAAAATTGGAAATTACTCATGTGTGAGACAGAATTAAAAACACAAGTCATAAGTGTCAGCGATATCTCAGGAAGCGTGCTCTTAAATTCGTTGACTGAAAAAAGTTATTTATAAACACACGTCTCTTCTCCAACAAAAATGGAAACTGAGGCACCAAACGTACCGTTTAGATCTTCAATTCAACACAAATCAATTTCTAATCAAATTTAATTTGTATGCTTTAGCCTTTGATATTATCTCTAAAACTTCAATTGTCTATTTTATTCCTTGCACGTATATTCGACACTGATGGTCAAGGATTTTGAATTTTTTATTTCTCTTAGTATTAATTTCCTGCATGAAGATTGCTTTGAAGTTTGAAGTCATCCGAATGTGAAAAGACTAAACTCAGCTCAGTGACCGGCACGCACTTAACGAATGGGGTGTAAAGTTTGGTGTAAAAAAAATACATATATGCACATTCGTCAATACCACTAAAAGATGAAGGTACTGGTCGGAGGACCAAGCAGGAGATTAATTCATTAATTAATTAACGTTGCTATTTACGTTCCTTGAATCATAATTAAAGGATGTAAAATTTTGGGAAGTCCCACATTTTCTTTGAGTGGAATCTTAAAGTCTTCAGTCTATCTCTATGTTATGCCTACAAACAAACGCTAACATCATCAAGTATCAATCAGAATTCAGTAAAACATTCAACTATTTAAATTAAGCTTGACACGTATCTAAAAACAAAAGGAATATAGTTGTCAAAACTCAAACCTAGAGCTGGTCAAGGACCAGTCCCAAGTGGGCCCACGTCCAGTCCCATTTGAGACTAGTCGCTCATGGGCCTAGGACCAGTCCCAGGCCCGTGAGCAATTTCAGGACCCGAACTGGTCCCTACGACCGATCCTATGCGCTTGCAAAATTTTATTTTCTCCCCTATCTTTTTTTATAGTTTAGGGGCGAAAGAAAATTCTATAGGGGGGTTTATGTGATTTTTAAGGGTAAATTAGTAATTTTGAGGGGCAGCAGCGAGGGTTATTAAAAGCAAATTTTTAAGTTTTGTAAAATTTTTTGTAACCCCTATAATTTTTGTCCATTTCAAAATTTATAGGGAGTTTTATGTAATTATCTAGGGTTAAAAAAATAAACCAAAAGGGTTTAGGCTCGGGCCTTGGAGGAGGGCCCAGTTGAGGGACCGAGCCCTTCTCCTTAGGCCTGGTCCGGTTTTGAGAGCAGGCCTGCTAGGACAGGTCCTAACCGAGTTTTTGGGTCAGGTTTTTGGACCCGGTCCTAAATGCCCAGCTCTACTCAAATCGTCTCAAGAATTTGTGCATAAGTGAATTTGGTTCGTACATATGTCCAAGCCTCATTTAATTCAAGGATATACATGAGAGTTATCAACGAATGGGAAGGCAAGAAGGATCTTCACAACATCAGACCGCTTGCAAAATGTGATCATTACTTTGAGCAAAACCTATATAAATAGGTAGCTCTCCCTCATAAAATAGTGTTAGACACACACGATTTTCACAAAGAAATTTGAAAAGATACACTACTAGAAAAAGACTAGTTTTACATTCTCTTTGAACACAAACACTTGTAATCTCATATCGCAGATCGCGATCTCTTGTAAACTTGTGTAAGGATTAGAAAAAACATCTATATAAACAATCACAGTGGATGTATGATTCACTTTAAGCTGATAAAAACTCTCTTGTCACATTTGCTTTACGTATTTGCATGCTATTGTTATCATAATACCTCACTCATTCACTATAATTTACTCATGTGTGAATTTTTAGCATTTTACACTTGCAAAATAGTCATCAAAATCAAGCATCAACACTCTTCATGGTTATTAGAGGCCACATCCAGGTACAATGTAGCTCCACTGTTTTTACTCATTACACACTCTTCATGGTTACTGAAGACCAGATCCAGATACAAAGTAGCTCCACTGTTTTTACTGATTAAGTTGAGACGGTAGTATATACAGGAGGTGTGAGAGTGGGTCACATGTTGTGCTTCACATGTTGTTCACATGGAATTGCTGATTTTGAAGGATGATAATGCAAATCCATGACTTGGATCTTACCTGGAACACATTTTTAAAGTGATGTTCTTAGTGTTTGTTAAGTCACTAATTATAATAATTAAGGAAGCAACTTTTGGATTAATCTTTTCTATTTACCTTGCATCAATTATGAGATGCTAACCAAATCAGGTGCAGTAACTTAGATTTATAAAATCAGGTGCAGTAACTTAGATTTATAAGATCTGAAATAATAATGAAACAAACCATTGGTTCCCAAACAAAGATTTCACATCACCGTCAAACTCACTGCTTCTATGATCAGGAAAGAGAAAGAATAACCACAAAAAAAAATATATATGAAACCGACCATGGGCCACAGAAAATGCCTCTTCAGTTCGATTATTATTAAGACCCACAAATCTGAAGGAAACATGACCCTGCAGTTTCTGTATAAAACAAGTGGCTCAAATTAATAATGGCAGAAAATTCTGAAAAGGAAAAGCTTCAATGTGACCCACCACGAGTTTTTAAAGCCACAGCGACTTTCACCGTCCTTTTCCGCCCAGGACACAGATAGCAAATCAAAGAGAATTTGATAAAAGACTATTTCGAATGACACGACTACTATCATTTTCGGAGTTTGAAAATCACAGAACACTTCAATTTATGCACAGTATATGAATTAAGTTTTGACGTTATGAACTTTATTTACCAACTGATTCTATAAATTAAACTAATGAAGTGAGAAGTGGATTTTATAAAAAAAAATATGCGAATATGTACTGCAGAGTGCAGAAAGAAGAGAAAGGCCAATAAGTAAGTGTTAGGTATACATCGAAAAACAAATAACACAAAATTTTATTTATTCTCTCTACATCGGTCTCATGCATGAACAAAACAACGAGGCATATGACTTATATATACACGTACAAGTTTGTTCTTGGGTGTTGTCCTGCCTCTTATATGCATAAATTGATGACATTCAAATCCATCACCAATTCAGAAAGTTGTCTTTGAATTCACTTTTCACAGCCTAAAAAAAGTTTAACATATAACACAAGCATTTGGATTTTCTTCGATGCTTTGAACATGATAATATGTGGTCATATGAGGATTATAAGCTCTGTAAAGCTTAACTAGCTCTAAAACTGGGTCTGGTGGTGGTGGAGCTGGAGCTGCTGCTGCTGCAGCCTCTTTCTTTGGCTCTTCCTTCTTTTCTTCCTCTTTCTTTGGTTCTTCTTTCTTGGCCTCCTCTTTTGGTGGTTCCTCTTTCTTGGGTTCTTCTTTCTTTGCTTCCTCCTCTTTCTTAGGTTCTTCCTTCTTAGGCTCCTCTTTCTTCTCCTTCTCCGGCTCTTTTGCTGGCCCAACTAAGATAATATCCGTTGGCCAGTATTTTCGCAATTTGCTCACTACGTTTACAGGATCAACGGTTCCTATCACTGTTAATTTCTTTTCCTTCATGTCCATCGAGATAGCATCGATTCCTACAATTTTACAAACACTGGATTATAAAACTATTATTTTCTAGCAAAAAAGACTCTTATAAATAATCTAATTCACAAAATAACCATAAAATTTTTAATTCCATAAGTACTTACCACTATTATATAATATAAGATTAGCATCAATAAATCTTTTAAAATTTATATAATTAATATGTGGTTTTATTCAATTATTGAAGGATGTGGGAGAATATAATAGATGTCAAGCATACAGGTATAAAAGCTCCACGTGTAATCAAAATGTTTAATAGCTCATGCATTGGTTTGATTTTTGGATATTTCTGTAATTTATGCTTAGTATTGATTATCCTCCAAGTAGCGTAAGCGAAAAGGACAGTTAAAATGATCCATTAAACAAACTTTCTCTCTGTTTTTCTTCCTCTTTCGTCAAAGCTGTTAATGATCCATATATATCTAGTGAACTTTCTAATAGTGGACCACTCTTAAAGAGTGAGAAATTTGTCAAATACCAAATTAATTAACTTAAAAAAGTTAGGTGGTACAGTAAATATCAATTAGGTTCTTTGCAGATATCATGCAAGGAATGTTCATATTTAAATATAATTAATAAATCGCTTAAAATTGAAGTTTTTAATTCTTTCCAATGTTTTTTTTTTTTTTTGAAAAATAAATAAATAAATCGATTTGATACCTGAAAGAGTAGAGACTGTCTTCAAGGCCTTCTGCTTGGCTTTGTCATCATGCAAATCACACTTCAACACAAACTTCTGCAAACACGCAAATCCCGAAGATCTATTTTCAGAAACAACCAATCTTCTGATATTTAATTTCCAATAAGAATCACATCACATGATACCAAAACCCATCAACGATATCAAACTTGATTTAATACGTTAAAAGATGTTCTATATCATATGAAAACAAATTACAAATGTTAAACAAAGCTAGATCGATGTAAAATCTGGACAGACAATAACTGTTACAGCTCAAAAGAAATACGTTGTTAAAACACAAGATATGTTTATTTACTAAAACAAAACCAAAAATAAATAAAATTATTTAGAGAGAAAAAAGATTAATCAAAGTTTCAAAGCCTTTTGAGAAAGAGACCCAGATGATACCCATGGCCCATCCATATTCAAGTCAATAAGAAATAAAGAATCAACTAAACAAATTACTAATCTGAATAAAATAAATAACGTAAGCGTTATATTCCTATAAAAACATAAATAAAAAAGATGAAGGAACAAGAATCCAGTAAAGGAAATGATAAATAGTTAAAAGATGCGATAGTGGAAATCAAACCTTCATTCCTGGTTGCTTTTAGAGGGAAATTGCAGATCAGTGGTACGAGTTCAGAGACAATGTTGAGAGAATAAAGAGATGAAGAGAGATAATATCAATTGAAAAAAAAAAAAAAATATGAGTAGAGAAGACGTAATGGAATAATGCTTTGTTGAAAAAGATAAGAGAGATTGCAACGAAAAAAATCCGAATCAAAACAAGAAATGCAGAATAGGAAAGAGAAAAGTAGAGAGGGGGAGAGAGAAGGAATCGGATCAACTTCACCCTCGCCACTGCACGAATGTTGAAGATGTGTAAAACTAGTGGAGCTATAAAACGCCCGTCTGCCTCAAGAGCATGATTCAATGACGGCACAAGGGTAGACATCCATACCTTTCTATTTCTTGTCCACGCGATTGATAGGGGCGTTACAACCACAACCACCCACATGCTTAATTATTGTGCCACCGGTCTTTCATTTTCAAATTAAACCAGCAATCAACTTAAAATGATTAAATGTAATTAGATAAGAAATCACACAAATAAAACTAATTGTTATGCCTATAAAGTCACACTTATGTCAGCTCAATAAATGTCTTTTTGTATTAGCTGTCAAGCCCATACCTCCTCAAAAATATTCATACCAACTCTATTTCATTTCAAGAGATGAATGGACGAGAGCCTTCTATGTGTCAAGACAACTTGCAAAACACTCATTACATTGACCTCAAAGGTATATAAATTGACACGTCTCTTCCCGAAAAGGGGGGTTGGGCATATGAGAGTTAGGTATAGATTTGAGCTCAATTCTTTCTCTCTGTAAACACTGTATTTCTTCATCTTTGTATGTCTTATGGGCAATCATAGAAATAATCAGAGATCAATAAAATAACAGTGGATGTAGGATTTGCTTTAAACAGTCGAACCACTATAAAAACCTCTCTTGTCAATCTATTATTTATGTTTTCTGCAACATATATAATCGCATCTCCATATTCAAATCTCATGGATCCATCATGTGTAATTTCTAAAGCTCTCTTAGCACTTTGCAAGTGCGAGTCGTTGGCGTCCAAAATCAAGCGTCAATAGTTTGGTGGCCCATGCAAGCCTCAAACCTGCGTCAAAGTTCTCCGATCACATGGCCAGATCGTTGATCACACACTCAGATCGCTGATCTTTAGCTTCAAATCTCGCGTTCAAAATCGTTGAGATCATGCATTCAGATCGCCCAGATCGCTAATCGCACGCTCAAGTCATTCTGATCTTCGGTTTCAAATTGCTAATCTTTAGCCTCAAATCGAGTGGCCAGATCGCTGATCGCACACTCAAATCACGCGTTCAAGAACGTTGAGATCACGCGTTCAGATCGCCCAAATCACGTTGTTAGACCGCTGATCGCACGCTCAGGTCGTTTTGATCCTCGGCTTCAGATCGCTGATCTTTAGCTTCAAATCGCGTGGCCAGATCGTTGATCACAAGCTTAAATCGCGCGTTCAAGATCGTTGAGATCATGTATTCAGATCGTGTATCGCACGCTCAGGTCGTCCTGATCTTTGGCTTCAGATCACTGATCTTTAGTTTCGAATCGCGTGTTCAGATCGTTGATCACTGATTGCACGATGCGATCGTTGATCTCTTGCTCTATGATCGGGCTCGTTATGCTCTCAGATGGAGCTCCTCATGATCTGAGATCGAGCTTGTTATGCTCTTTGATCGAGTTCGTTATGCTATCAGATGGAGCTCCTTATGATCTTAGATCGAGCTCGTTATGCTCTCAAATGGAGCTCCTTATGATCTCATATTGAGCTCCTTATGATCTCAGATGGAGCTCGTTATGCTTTCAGATCGAGCTCCTTATGATCTCAGATCGAGCTCGTTATGCTCTCAGATAGAGCTCGTTATGATCTCAGCTCAAGCTCGTTATGATCTCAGGTGGAGCTCGTTATGCTCTCTGATCGAGCTCGTTATGCTCTCAGATGGAGCTCCTTATGATCTCAGATCGAGCTCGTTATACTCTCAGATGGAGCTTGTTATGATCTCAGATCAAGCTCGTTATGATCTCAGATCAAGCTCCTATCAAATCGCGATCAACTTCTAACTCTCAGCAATCGATCGCGCTAGGAATAGTTCGAGCTCTTTAGTTCGAGACTGCAGCCTATAGTGCAACAACCATTCAGATCAAAGACCTGAGTTTCTGAAGCGCGATTACGCACTCCAAAAACTGGGGGGCTTCTATTATGCCTAAAAAATCACGCTTATGTCAGCTCAATAAATGTCTTTTTGTACTAGCTACCAAGTCCATACCTCCTCAAAGATATTCATACCGATCCTATCTCATTTCAAGAGGTGAATGGACGAGAGTTTTCCATGTGTCAAGACAACTTGCAAAACACTCATTACATTGACCTCAAAGGTGTATAAATTAACACTTCTCTTCCCGAAAAGGGAGGCTGGACATATGAGAGTTAGACATAGATTTGAGCTCAATTCTTTCTCTCTGTAAACACTGTATTTCTTCATCTTTGTATGTCTTATGAGCAAAATCATAGAAATAGTCAGAGATCAATAAAATAACAGTGGATGTAAGATTTGCCTTAAATATCCGAACCACTATAAAAACCTCTTTTGTCAGTTTATTATTTATATTTTCTGCAATATATATAATCTCAGCTCCGTATTCAAATCTCATAGATCCATCACATGTAATTTTTAAAGCTCTCTTACCATTTTGCACGTGCGAATCGTTGCCGTCTAAAATCAAGCGTCAACACTAGTTAATTAGTATATTATATTATTTAACTATATTTAAAAAGTAAAAAAAAAATATATATATATATAATATATATATATTGTTTTAAATTTGATTTATAAACTTGTACTATTAAACTGTAACTTTTGTTTCTAGCGCGTGAAAAAAAACCGTCTGTGACTGTGAATCGTCATTCGTCAATATGGGCCATAAGATGATTATGGACCCCAGCAGTCAAAGTATCAACACACAGCAACAGTCATTTTTTAAACTGTAACTTTTGTTTCTAGCGCGTGAAAAAAAACCGTCTGTGACTGTGAATCGTCATTCGTCAATATGGGCCATAAGATGATTATGGACCCCAGCACTCAAAGTATCAACACACAGCAACAGTCATTTTTTACAATCAGGGGCTACCAAACATGAGCCTTCATGCCATGCCAGCCGTGAATTTAGAATGCAGACATTCTTAGTAATAATTTAAGTGAGGATAGGTGGTCCTAAATTTGCCACTACTAGCAGCCCAAATGGACCCCATAAGGCGTAAGTAGATTAAGCGAATCACAAATACTAGTTGATTAGATGGGTTTTTTACCCACGGATTTTCAAGGTTTTCTTTTTCCTAATTATGTATGGCTTTAAAAACAACTTTTAATTAAAGCTTTGAACCACCGTTGTGCTTGTGCATTGATTGAATAGGAACCATAAGACTTCTCATTCAGTAATACTTAGGATAACAAATAGATTTTTTTTTGAATTCATCCATGGTCCTTTTAAAGTTAAATTATTAATTTTTAAATATTTCATCAATTAATCTGTATACAGTATTGATGCAATTAAAAAATTAATTAATCTCAAATAACTTCATTTTAATACTTCATAAGAGAATGAATTAGGTAGAAGTTAATACTTTAAAAATATCAAAAAGAAAAGTGTTTAAAAATGGTTATATTATTTGATCATTTAAACTTAAATTTATAATAATATGTGCAATAATAACGTAATCACCAATAATTGAAGGAGCATAATGTAGCATTACCAAACCATCATCATGTTAACTGAATTTTGATTAGGTGAGGGATCATATTTTATGCACATTTTACATTTTAACAAGTCTAAAACGTTGTCATCCACAAGTTTGATCTAAAAGTCACATGATTTCTCACACCACTTCATTTGCTGCTGCAATTTTTTAGTCTACGAAATTCTGTTGGGTCATCATAAGAATTGAAGCTACAACACATCCCAACTCCCTACGTCATTCACAAATGGGGTAATGCATATATCTGAACTAGTGGTGGGCAGGTCCAGGTACCCGCCCAAATCCCATGGAATCAAAACTGACAAGCTCCTGGGATTTGGAACGAAACTGGAACCGACCAATTTCGGTTTCTAGTACTCAGAAAAATTACGATTACCTCTTAGTATTCACAAAAATGACAACTTGGGTCTTAGTCCTAATTTTGGTTCCTACAGTGGTGGAATCATAACCAGAACTACATAACACTTATTCCCATTTTTTAGAATCAGAACAAGCCCTCAACTGACCCTGTGAGGGCCGATTCTGGGTAGAAATCAGAACCGAAACCTCGAGTACGCATTGGTTATGGTTCTATTCTATTTTTTTGCCTACCCCTAATATGAAGTAATAGGGTAATAAAATAAGAATTGGAGCACGATTATAGTGTAATTGCCTAATTGGATGTATTTTTTGAATTTCTTATATTGTTGAAAATTTATTTTATCACTATTTGTTTTCTGATTGATTCTTTCGCAGTAAGCTAGTTTAATGTGTGGTGGAAAAAAGAAGAAAAACATTAGTATGGGCTCTTAGGCACTTAACATTAACATTACTAAGCACCTGTAAAGAAAAATGATCTTATATAAATTTATTATTATGCCAAAAATTTAAATGTCTTGACATATATTAATTAATTAATTGTTAAAACTATTATAATATAAAATTTTGACATAAATTTGTGATGCAATGCAATTCAATGATTTAGATAATGTTTAATTGATAATCTTTTAAATCCATTTGATTAAATTATATAGTCATATATTTGTGTTTCAAATCTACGTTAAAATTTTGTTTAACAATAATCTAACCCGTTAATTATTATTTTAACAATTGATATAGCTTTTTAATTTTGGTTATCAATTTAAGTTGCTTTTAAGTGAATTATTTTGTAACCGGTTCGGATAAACTCGGTTTTCCATTTGTGGCGGGTTATGAAAATTTTATAAATGAACGTATCCAATCCACCTGGACGAGAAAATTTCTTACACGTCATCAATTTTTTTTTTTATTTTTTTCATTGCATGCAGACAATTAATACTATGACGTAGGAGTTTTTCTTGTCCAGCCTTAAGGTTAAACGTAGCACCGGCCTATATTGCCATGACACGACAATACGCGAGGTCCACAGCCAGTGGGGGCTTGCATGGTTCATAAATTTCATCTATGCAAACCAAAAGCAGAAATTTTCTGAACCATTAATGGCTATTCGCCTATTCTTATTCAGTCAGCTTTATAATATGGGGCCAAACTTTTTTTTAAGTGTACATTGTTCAACCTCTCAACATTTGTTTATCAGTTAATACTTACTTGTAACAAGCATCTTCTTTTATATCCACATTTAATGAGTTGAGGACACTGACGTTCTGATGTGTAAGATTCTGCCTGGTCATTTGTGTATATGGTTCAGGTCACGTACGCAATTGTTGAAAATAAGCCACATCGTTGAGTTCAAAATCGAATTGGTTAACCAATTTTGTAAGCCGATTTAATTTTTCGGTTAAAATTTTTTTTTAATCGAAACAGAACTGGTTAAGGAAAAAATCGGTTAACCCATTTTAAACTGGTTTTAATTTAATATTTAATATTTTAATAATAAATATGATTTTTTGTTTTATATTTTAATTTAATATATTTATAGTAAACCGGTTAGTAAAATCGATTTCCATTTTCTCCGAAACTAGTACCGAATAAAAAATTGGGTTTTTTAATTTTTTGAACTGAAACTGAACTGATTTTTCAGATAATCGAAAATTCGGTTTAGTTGTCAATTCAGTTTGGATTTTACATTATTTTGAACACCCCTAATCATTACGCCATTTTAATACTATATAGTTAAGGTCACATACTTTAATTGTTGAGAATAAGTCACACCATTACTACCTTTTTAAGATTACATACTTCTGGAACTTGAAAATGGTAATACTGTAATAGAAACACTGTTTATTTTTACTCTCGTTTTTCATTCTCTCACGCTTGTTTTACTTTGTAAACAATAATGTTATGCTTACTCACGAATTTACTAACTATCTTACTACCTTTGTTAAAATTACATATAATACCCGTACTATGAGTATAATACCCGTACTATGCGTTATATTTATAAAGGATAGTAAAATAGTTAGTAAAATCGTGAGTAAGCATATCATTACTCCTTTTTAAATTCTAAGGGGCATAAACATGAACATGACAGTAAAATATATAATAGGTGAGGTAACATTTTGATTGAGGGTTGTCCTCTATGCAAGGGCTATAAGAAGGGGATAAAGTTAGCCTTGCAGCTTAACAAATTCAGAAATTCCCATAATTTCGTCAATTCTAAGGGCACCACTGTCGGCCTTTCAAATGTGATAGGTTGTCGGCCTTTATACCCTCAATGGGCCCTTCATGTCGTATTATAGAAGGAGGATGCCAGTTTACTGGGCCGAGAACATTAACGGCATTAAACCGTATATCAATCTCAATAAAGTTTTGGGCTTAACAAAGAGTTCGTCTTAATGTAGCACTTACTAAATGCACCACCTCTATTTCTTAGCACATCCATATAACCATATCGAATGGGAGTGTACTTGATACAATATTTTATGCATTTAGTAACACCGTAATGTATGAATGAATTTCTTCCCAAACTTTTATCAGTCAAAATTTTGATTAAATTACTCAAAGAAAAAGAAATTCACTTAGAATAGGTGAAAATTAATTATGCGATAAAATATATTTTGGTTAAAAATAATTGCCTGGAGTTAGTTAGAGTCTTAGAGAGGTCTTTTTTTTTCTCATTTCATTAACTTTTTGGTGCCATTATAATTTTCTCAGATGGCAGGGAGGTGTATGTAATTTACCTTAAATGAAATTGTGCATGCACTGAAATCTAACTGCCGTAAACGCAATATTATGAAGACACGTCTAACATACATGCCTAGTTGTCCTCCCCGCGTCTCCTCACTCGTTTCTGACTCCGTCGTCGCCTTCTTTAGGAGAAAGGAAAAAAATCTCAGCAACCTTAAAAAACCAGGAACAAAACAAAACCCACTATTCAATTTCCGAATGCATGAATCCAAAACCCTAATTCCAACAGCAATAAGTTTTTCGGAACAACCGTTTCTGATTCCTCATATTTCCTAAATTTTCTCAACCATCAATTTTCCAGTCTCAATGTTTCCAAAACTCTAATTCCATTCAAAACAATAAATTTCTGTCAAATTCATCGGTCAAAATTATTGAATGGATCACAAAGAATCTCATGAACGGGTAAATTCCTATCACCTCATACCTAATTCCGTCTGGCTTGAAATCAGACTCTTTTATGTACGAATTTCGCCCTGCGTGGTCTCCAGCGTGCCCGACCACCTAACCCTTTGCCACGTTCGAAGCGAGATCGGCGTGTCTCTCGAAATCAACGGTTCACGTGTCCCTGCGTCTGACGTGGCTTCGATAACCCTACGCCGCGATCGGCTCAACAAGGAATCATCAGAAGTGACGTACGTGAGCACGGATAGCGTGCGCGTGACGGGAAGCATCGAATTCGAGGTGTTTCAAGAGAAGGACATGGTTTTGTGTGGGTCCTTGGAGAGGATGGAATCAACGTGGAATAATGAGAGTGACGCGAGGGCGGGATGGAGCATGGATTGTTACTCGGCGATAGGTTCGTGTTCTTCAGCGTTTTTTCAGCCGAAACTTGGGGTTTCGGCGCCGGCTATTGAGGTATATATTGCTGGTTGTTGTGGGGGTGTACCGGTAATTTTGACAAAGACGATACAGGTGAGTCCGAGAAGGAAAGGCTCAAGGCATGGATTGCTGGATGCAATTCCCGAGGATGAGGAGATTGAGAAACATTTAAACGTTGCTAATGGGTTCGTTCGCCAGCGAAAATTGCAGGTAAACGGAGACTTTGATGATGTTCTAATCAATGTTGATATTTGTTGTTTTTCTTTTAGTGTATATACGCTCTGCGTTGATTTAAAATCAGTGACAGATGTAAGGTTTGGATTCTGATTAAATTATTGACTCAATTTTGGGAATGTGGCGTTGATGGGAACGATGAGTATCTTGTTTATATGAAATTTGGATTTGAGTGAACGGAGAAAATGCTGAGCTATATGTGATAATGAAAAAGTTTTATTGCTTATTTGAACTATATTTTTATACTAAAATTATAATCTTGACGCTTTTGAGTAATTGAAGTTAATGTTGATGGACATGCTCGCCTGTTGATTTTGGGTTGGGTAGACTGCTATTGTAAGTTCTGCAGTCTTTCAAGATAACGCACCTCCCTGGAATCCAAGCGAATTCAATGCCTACCCTGTAAAATTAACTTTAATGTGGTCAGAGTTACACTCCCAAGTCTTATAATGCATTTGGCATTTAGCACTATATAGGTGAATTCGTTCTCTTCCCCATTATTTTAGCTTTCAAGTTTGGTTTACTTCGCTTCAAAGTAATGGAATTCCACTGTATCATAAACGAATGAAACATGAAATTTATGCATTAGTGCATACAGACACCTTTAATGCACTTATAACATTTATTCCATCCTCTATTACCAGTCTCTGTCATCATTTCAATCTGACACTGTTGTTTTATTTCTCTTAGCATTTTCTTGATTTTCAAATTGAAGTACACTGAGTCCCAATCAAGTTCTTTTACCACATTGATTATGTCAGAAACTTTTTTAGTTTATTGTTCAAGAAGCATTCTTCATATTTTACACGACTTAAATTTGACTGAAACTAGGTTTTCTATATTACATTCAGGTAGATTAGATAGGCAGGTCCTTTCTCAAATGCTCTGATCACCATTTCTTGTTGATAATCATCTTTTTTCATCATTTATATAACTTGAATTTTAGGAATCACTCGTGGCATCTCTTTCATCAAAGCTGTTTTTGCAATGAATTGTTCTCTGTACTAGTTTTCTTTTTAATGCCCTTAGTCGTTATCCTTGTAATTCTAACTTGGATTCTTCAAAGTCACTTGTGACATGGTTACATATTCTGTTTACAATTAATGATTCATGCTTGATCCTGAAATCTACATATGTGTGAAAAATGTGATTTACTGGTTCTCCTATGCTTCTAAGTAATTTTCCCTGCTTCCTTATTTGAGTGCATATTGTGCATACATTTTCCTGGGAATTTAGCATGTTGAATAAAATAATTTTCATCATGGTAAGTCAATTTTATCAAAGTTGCATTAGTGCTTATATTGAGTGAATATTCAGATTGGTAAACTTGTTGAACATCCAGAGATCTTCTATTAGCCTTACGATTTATGGTTATGCTGGCTAATCGAAACTTCTAATATTGCTGTAAGATTCATTCTTATCATAACTTTTAATGATGTTGTAAAAAGAAATTTGAATTTAACACAAAATAGAACCATTATCGTAATAGTGATGTAACATGTGAGGTGTTGTCTGCCTGGAATTGATCAATTTTCTTGTCTTTTTTTGCCAGCCTGAATGTTTTGGTAATGCTTATGTTAAAATTCTCACAGGTTGCTTTTTGTTGGTACCTTACACCTTAAAGTTATGTACTTAAGGGACTTATTTTCAGCTGTAGCTCTTGTTTGGAAGTATTGATACAGAGCCATAAGCTTTTCTTAATGTATTTTTGACTTAGAAGTTATTCTACTTAGAGTTTCTGGCAATGCATGTTTATTTGCGACTTTGTATTACTTTAATTATTTGTGTTGTTTTTTCGGCTGTGCAGATTACAGAAGCAGAAGTTGATGATTATGAGTCAGATGAGAAAATCCATGGGAGTTTGTACTCGGAAGACATGTACTATGGGGAAGATGGCCAACTTTCATGGTTTAATGCTGGTGTTAGAGTTGGAGTTGGAATTGGGCTAGGCATGTGCGTTGGGATTGGAATTGGTGTTGGTCTTCTAATGCGTTCATATCAAGCAACCACAGGAAAGTTTAGGAGGAGGTTTCTCTGAAGCTGATCAAATTGTTCTTTATTCCAGTGGAATAAAAAGGAAAGGTAAATTTATCAGGTTATTAATGGAGGTTGGCTTTAATATGGTAGTTGAATACGAGTTTTGATAGCTGATCTGGGAGTTGTACAGTATATCAGCTGGTAGTTTTGAGTTTTACTTGTTGACATAAAGGTTGTAGGGGTGCAGCTGAAAGTGTTATGTGACATTCTCATGTCATGGCTGCTTACAAGAGCATGGACATGCTGTTTCGAATGAAATGTGGATCGAACGTTCACAACCTCTTGAGGCATGAGAATTTGAATATTAATAATATAATAAGCTTCCAGGGGGGATATTGGGACTTGTTAAGTAACCGGCATGAATTTGTGTGAGTGTGAGAAAAAAGTGTATCTAGTAGTCCATGTGATGTAGAAATTTTGCCATGTACGTTTTGAGAAATGTTTGTAGTCTGGGTGCCTTTGTGGTATTCTTGTATTCTATTAAATTGTCGCAACATGTTTTTCTTTCATTTTCAAAAATAAATTAAAATGCGTTTCAAGTGTTTATCAGCAATTTTTTGTTAATGGTAGTTTCTTCCCTGTAGAAGCAATGAACACTAATGAGTTTTCATTTAAGCATTCCCTTCCGCTTTCTCATGAGGCTTGATCGTCGTTAGTTTTATTCTACCGAAAGATCCTTCCCTGTAAGTGCAGTGCAGGAAGCCATTGGAAGATATGCATACATGATGAACACTAGTTCATCTCTAAATTAAAATTTCAATTACCCCATTCGATTCGTCAAATTGTGTTTTGCACTCCTGTCTTAACTCAATTGTTTCCTTCTTTTGGGAAATTATTGGTAAGACAAAATAGCTGAACGGTGAGGAGTCAAAGTTAAGTTAATGAAAGAGAATGAAAATTATTTTGATTCCAGTATTTAATAAAAATTAATCATATTATCTCTCTAATAATTAAATAATATGTTTATTTTAGGAATTATGGCCGGAATGTTTTTACAATTTCTAAAAAGATATTTGGAGAATGTTTAGTTAAATTAACAAATTTATGAGGGTTTAAAGAAATTAAAAAATGTAAAATAATATTTTGAGAATAATGACATTTTACTGTTTAATTTTATTGAAAATACTAATAATAATATTATTTCTAACAGCGTAACAAACGAAGCCTTAATTCTTTTAAAGTATTTTTCAATCGCAATGTGAAAATATAATTATATCTATTTCGTGGATTAATATTTAAATTGTTTACACAATGAATCTAAAATTTGAATTGTAATTTTAAGCGTAAGATAGACTTGTAATGGTGTTAACGTCAAGGTTTTAATTTAAAGTAAGGATACAAAAGTAATCTCAATACTGCAAAAATGTAATCAGGATTCATTTTTTCCCCTAAAAATTAGCCCAGGAGGGCTATTTTGAAAGACTCCCGCAATCGGGATATAATTGCAATTTAACAAGACTTACCCAACTCTTCGAATAGAATAGGGTCAGATCTTAACGGTGGGGACATTTCGACCTTCCCGACCCTCTGGAGCAGCAAGCCTGCAACCAAAATAAAATAATAAAAATAAAATCAAAGCAAAATAACGACGCATCATCAGTATCCTCCGTCCACTAAGCCCTCGAAAATGCCCAAAATTACAACATTAAACCCTAACCACCTCAACTGAAAAATAACACTGACCACACTCGGAGAAGAAACATAGCGGGGGAGACACCGGAGACGATGAAAAATAGATCCTCTGCACCAATGCCTCACCGTAACAACCCCACACCCCTTCCTTTTGTGGTTACTCTTAACTGCATCGATGACTGCGTCTTAGAACAAGACTCCCTAGCCGGCGTTGCTTCCGTCGAGCACGTCCCGCTCAGTCGCTTATCCGATGGCAAGATCGAAGCAGCCGCCGCTGTCCTCCTTCATTCCCTCGCCTACCTACCACGCGCCGCGCAACGCCGGCTCCGTCCCTACCAGCTTATACTGTGTCTTGGCTCTTCTGACCGCGCCGTCGACTCCGCACTCGCCGCCGACCTCGGTCTCCGGCTGGTCCACGTTGACACCTCGCGAGCCGAGGAGATCGCTGATACTGTGATGGCTCTTGTCCTCGGCTTGCTGCGACGCACGCATTTGCTTTCTCGCCATGCGCTCTCGGCTTCGGGATGGCTAGGCTCGGTGCAGCCGCTATGTCGAGGAATGAGGCGGTGTAGAGGTCTAGTCTTGGGGATCGTAGGTAGATCTTCATCGGCTCGGGCTTTGGCGTCGAGGAGTTTGGCTTTCAAGATGAGTGTGCTTTATTTTGATGTTCACAAGGTACTTTTTCACAATGTTGATTAAATTTTGAATAGAAATTTATGTTTTTGGTTTTAGCAATACCTAATGTGCCTTGTTTGATGTTTGCAAAGAAACCAAATAGGATTTAAATTTTTTTGGCGTTGATTTCAATTTGAGCTAATGTTTATGTTGTAACTTTCATGATGAGGTTTTAGTTGCTAATATTGTGATTATGTATAGTTTATGGGAATAATCAAGCTTACTAGTTATTAGTTTTTAAAGGTTTATCTGGTCAATGTTTAGGGTATCAAGTCTGGAAGATTAGGGAGCGCAAATCTTTAAATGAAGAGCATTATGAGTTTGTAGTAGATATATTTATGCGTTTTAATGTATTTGCATTTTACTGCTTTTGCATGAGATAAGAACTGAATGATGTGAACAATCACTTTGAAGTAATGTGAAATTTCTCCTATAGGGTACAATTTTAGATTCTTATAAACTTAAATATTTTATTTTCGTTTTTCCTGAATTGAAGAGGGTTATCTACAATATTGAATGAAAAGAACTCCTTTGTGAAAATTTGCACAAGATCTTGAGTGATTATGATGTATACTGTTATCATGTGGATTACCCTTTTCAGAAGTATTTTCACTTAAATATTTTTTCATGTTGTCTCTGCACACTTTTGAGCTTGTAAATGCACTAACATGTAATTTATGACTTGCTCATCAAATTTGAAGTTGAATTTGTTCTGAATTAACTTTTCTCCTACAGAGTAAAGGAAAATTTGCATTTCCTTCAGCTGCCCGAAGGATGGACACTCTTAACGATTTACTAGCTGCAAGTGATGTTATCTCTCTTCATTGTGCTGTAACAAATGAAACAATTCAGATTATCAATGCGGAATGTTTGCAGCATTTAAAGCCTGGTAAATTTGCTTCATCTTTGATGATCCTCCCCTACTAAATTATTGAGATCTCTTCTATTTACCTATAAGTCGGAATATTTTTTTATTGTTTCACATAGGGGCATTTCTTGTGAATACGGGCAGCAGTCAGTTGTTGGATGATTGTGCTGTGAAGCAGCTTTTAATTGATGGCACCTTAGCTGGCTGTGCCTTGGATGGTGCTGAAGGGCCACAATGGATGGAAGCATGGGTAAACATCAGAACATTCTGATAATTAGTAATGCTGCAATATTATTGCCAGCCACATGATTTCAAAATCTTTTATTTCTTCTTCTCTATATGTCAAAGAATTCTTCTTTTCCTTTGCTCTCTCTCCATTTCTCACTGGATCAAGACTTCTTTATTTATGTACTAGATTAGGAATCAGTAGCAACATCCATCCTGTAAAAGTCTAATTTCTTTCCTTTTCTTCCTTGATTGTTATTCTCTGGTACTTTCTATTATGCATACTGGATAAAATACAGTTGCTTCTTTGCATGAATGCCAATGTCTTCTGGTTTTTAGTGAAAAGGTTACGATTGATGATTGAGTACCGGAGACTGAAAACTTATGTTTCAGTCATAGTTTTTTCAAGTGCCTTATGCTTAAGACATTCTGTTTCTCAATTATGGAGCAGCTTTTCTCAAATATAACACAGGGCCAAGTTCCTCTAGTTTTAGGCAATTTGGCTAAATCTGGTAACTTTATTCATTGAGTTACATGCATGTGTTTTAAATAATCAGTGGAAGGCATATTTAGTAGCTGAATAAGTTTAATTTTCTCTTTAACTTATTTCATCATGACTTATGCTAGAGAGTACCTGAGAGTTCAATAAGATAAGGTGCCATTAATCTGTGTCATATTCACTGCTTTAGGTTAGGGAGATGCCAAATGTATTGATCCTACCTCGCAGTGCGGATTACAGTGAAGAAGTATGGATGGAGATAAGGGATAAGGCCATTTCTATATTGCAAACGTTCTTCTTTGATGGGGTTATTCCGAACAATGTCATTTCGGATGAGGATGAGGACAAAAGCGAAATGGGTGATGAAGTTGAACAATTTGATAATCAAGACAATGTGAGTGCACTTCAGGGTTCTGTTTCTGAGCAACTGACAGATGATATCCAAGTTACTCCAGAAAGCTCTCAGAAAAAGGGGATCAGTCTATCAAAAGATTCGCCTAGCCAGCCGCAAGGTTCAGGTTTGTCTCAAAATACTACCTCTAAATCTGATGGACGGCGTAGCAGGTCAGGTAAGAAGGCCAAAAAGAGGCTTGCCCGTCAAAAATCTTTGCGAAAATCGGATGATCCCTCTGCATTAGAAAAAGAAAGTACTTCACATAGAGAAGATGATACTGCTATGAGTGGCACAGATCAAGCCAGTTCTCGGTGTGCTTCCCCTGAAGACTCAAGAAGTAGGAAAACACCTATAGAATTAATACAAGAGTCAACATCTGAACAGCATCTAAAATCTAGCAAAAAGCTCAGTGGAAAGTCTGTGGAAATGCTGAAAGATGGTTACGTCATAGCTCTATATGCAAGAGATCGCCCTGCACTCCACGTCTCCAGGCAGAGACTTAAAGGCGGTGGCTGGTTCCTAGACACCATGTCAAATGTAACAACGAGAGATCCTGCAGCTCAGTTCCTTGTTGTTTCTAGAAGCAAGGTTTGTTGGCAAAAGATTATTTATTTTTTTACTTCCATTGGGCTCAGGTTTCAATCGAGATTAATTATAATATGGGTAAGTATAATTGAATTTGTTATTCTGACCATCTGATATGATCATATGGTTTATTTTTCTCAGGACATAATTGGTTTGCGTTCTTTTGCTGCTGGTGGAAAGTTATTGCAGGTTAATTTATATCCTAGAAAACTAGTTGGGAAGTGTTTCTCAAAGCCTATTTACTAATATTTCATTCGGGATTTATTGCAATTTCGTGAAGTTCAAAAAATTGCTGCCAGAAATTTAGTCTGGAATTGCTGATTTTTCCTTGTGGAAAAAATCAAACTCTTTTATTCTAGAAGATCTTCTTTATCATGTTTTGTCCTTTTGTCACCTCATTGAAGTGGAGAGCACATGCCGTTATACTATTAAGGGTTTTTGTGCTTGGGTATCGAACTCAGATTTTGTTGACATTGCAGATTAATAGAAGAATGGAGTTTGTATTTGCTAGTCATAGCTTTGATGTTTGGGAGAGTTGGACAATGGAAGGTTCTCTGGATGAATGTAGACTTGTCAACTGTAGAAATCCCCTGGTAATTTTTAAATCATTATTATTATTATTATTTTTTAACTTATTTAAAAATCCTTATGAGTTGGTTTGAAAGTGTAAACCTTGCATGACTTCACTACTTTCTGGGGGCATCCCCTAATTGCTTCAATTGACAAATTGCAGGCTGTTCTGTATTTACGCATTGTGATTCTGGCGGCTGTGGGTGAAGATGATGGGGTTACTCGTTGGCTTGATTAGATTGTGAACTTAGAGACTTGACAAAAATCTTAAGTTTTCCTCGCCAATATCTTTACTCTTTAAGAGATTTGTATTACTCAAAGTTGTTTGTAAAGCATTGCTTTCTTTCTTCTCTTATATTCTTCCTTTCTCCTTTTCTTCTTTTGCATTCTTTTCAGCTTTGTATGATTTCCTGTCTCGCTTTGTTCGGCCAGATGACACTAGAGTTAAATGTACAAGAGATTGTGTTTTTTGTATCTTTCAGAACGGATTCTTCCGGATATCAAAGAAGTGCCATTGCGGATCAGTATATTATCAGTATTAAGTGATAAAGCTTATTGTTGCTGTCATAAACTTGTGCCTTGTGTACCAATATCGCTGCGAATTTTATCTATCTGGACCGTTATGATATTTATTACCACAAAGGTAAAGTGTAAACAGCTACTTCCTGCGTCATGTTTGGTAGGGACGTTTAAAGCTAGCGGCAGTTTCGTGTTTAGCTGAACGACACTAAGTCATGTCGTACATGTTCCGGAGAAACTATGCGCCGAGACCTATCTTGGAATGGGTTATATATGGAGAAACGTTTTCTTGTACAATTTAATTAGAGAAAGTGAAAAAATGACAATCGTCTTGATTCTTTCGATTGCTTATTGATGTAATTATATGAAAGATATATTTTAGGAAATTTAGATTGTTGAATTTTTTAATTTAAGTGCTCTCTGAAGCCGAAAAGAAAACAAAAATTCGTCACATGATCAGTAAGCAAAACATTACTTGTTTAATTTTACTTTGGTTTATTGAAGCAATAAGCGGATCTAGATTTGTCATCAATTTTGGGTTTCTTGGCGTATTGGTTTGATTTTCTTGGACAACTTGGGGATTTGAGTCATTTGACAAAGTAGCTTTGGAAGTAAAATCCGTGTTCTAGTGGACTTGGTAAATGGTTTAATAATATGGTTGGTTGTCATGATCTAATTGACCATTTTAGAGTAATTGCCTCCTTAGTCCTTACCCATTAAATTGTCGTTCAGTACAAAATCTTGGTCACCAAAATTAAAGGCCAGGATCTTAACGGACAAAGCTGATCTCGTCCTTGCCAGAACTTTCAATAACTACCTTTCCATTTGGTGTCTCCCTGTCTCCCATGAAGGGTGCAGCCGTAATTTCAATTGAATAATACTTCGCGTACTAACGAATTATACTAACCAGTATACTAACCTTTGTTAAAATTACATATAGTATTCATATTATGCGTATAATATCTATACTATACTTTAAATTAGTATAATGGTTAGTAAAATCTGTTAGTACACATAGCATTACTCATTTCACTTATTAAGATATAAAATCCTACTAAATGGTTGTGTTTGGGTCATTATTTATACTCTATCGTATCTTTATCCTACCCAAAATATATATTTGTTTCCCTGTTCTGAAAATCTAATTTTATTTTATTCAATTATCTCTAAACTCTTTAGATTTGTTAATTTAACTAAGCACCTCCAACAATAAAGTTTATAAATTAACAAAAACACTTTTACTCACCCAAATATTTTTGATAGCCAAATATTGATTACTGCATTTAATGGATGAGTGAAAGTGTTTTAGTTAATTTTAAAACTTTTATTATAAGGTATGTTTAAGTAAATTAACAAATATAAAAGATTAAAAATAATTTTACTAAATACATTTTTAAATTTAAATATTCCCTTACAATAATAACTCAATTCAATTTTTTCAAAAGCAGCTTATTAATAATTATAAATGCCTGATGTTAAATTAATATAATTACAATAAAATATTGCATGATTATTTAAACTTGTCTACTCGCAGCGGGGGTTATGAAATCCAGAGAAGAATCAAAATTCTAGGAACCATGCTTATCCGTACCATATCTTTTCTAAATTATTTATTGATCATCATTTTTTGTTATTTACTTCTGAATAAAATTAAAATTTTAGAAACATGACTTTTTTTTTACAACTTTAATCTATTCCTTCATTATATTTATTTTCGTCTGAATTATGAATTATTTTTAACCGGCAGGCATACTAACTGCTTATTTTTTAAGATAGTTAATAAGGTGGTGTAGAAATTGCCACTCGTCACACAACAAATGCTCCAGCTCTCAATCAAGACAACCAGATCAAGCCACGTGTACGATCGCTACCCAGTGAGTAAGGTCAGTTTCGTCACAAATCTCACTACCCCCCACACACTATATAAAATCTCGCTCCGCATTGTGTAAGCGTCTGTACTCGGACCTGTCTGACTTCCCAAAGAGCAAAACACAAGCAAAGTTTCACAACTGAAAAATCAGAAACAGAAAAAAAGAAAAACAGAAATAGGAAGACTTTATTTTTGTATCAGCCTATGGTGTCCGTGAATCCAACCCCAGCTCAAGGGTTTTTCTTCTTCGATCCGACGAATATGTCTTATTCTGCCTTCAATTCTCTCCCACCGACAGCTAATAACACTACAACTTCCACAACAAATAATTCTACTACTACATCATTGACTAAAACTACAAGTAGTACTACGATGTTGTTTGCGGAAGATCCGAGCAAGAAGATTCGAAAACCTTATACGATTACTAAGTCTAGAGAGAGCTGGACCGATCAAGAGCATGACAAGTTTCTAGAAGCTCTCCAACTGTAACTCATATTCTAATTTTCTTTTTTCTTTTTTCGAAAACGTATGTTTATGATGCGGTGAATTTAGTTTTCGCTAAGTTATCTTATGCTTGTTTGGTTGGTGAGAAAATTAATGAAGGAAATAATAGTTTCAATATTGGTTTCTACTATCGATGGTTCTAGATTCAGTAATTGGTGTACTTATTATTATTAGTATTATTTTTGTTAGTTTTCACATTCTGTGGCATAAATGATTATCTAGTAATGTTTGGTTTGATTTCTGCTATGTATTTTGAATGGTTTACTTCAGTGTTCGTTGTTTCGCACCTCTTCGATATGGTTGTGATAGATTGCGCTTAGTGTACAATTGTGTTTTATCAAGTTGTAATAAGTGAAATTCAGTGTTTTTGTTTAAATTTACCTTCTGATGTATCAGTCCTTGATGGTGTAGTGTTACTTCAAGCGAGGATAATGACAAGGGATGAGACTTTCATTTCTTGTCTTTGGCTATATCTTTGGGCTACTATATGCTAAAGATATGGGTTTCTGATTTGATCTTTGATTTAAATAATAGAATGCTTGAAATTTAAACCTTAAGGTGGATTTTCTCGAAATCTTGCATACTGATGTGACGTTCTTTTTCATTTCGTTTTTTTTGTACCAGATTTGACAGGGACTGGAAGAAGATTGAAGCATTTATTGGGTCGAAAACAGTCATCCAGGTAAATTCAAATTCATATTTGAATCTATCTTGTATATCCATATAAAGAAGCATCAAGGCTGGACAAGTATTTTACCCTTGCTGCTTGAATTCTCTAGTATAAATGAGATTTTTTTTTGTTCCTTTTTCTTGATACGGCTTTCATGTTTAATCTTATGCTGAATTTTTTGTTCCATCAGAAAACTGTAGCTTACTTGAATCTGTTTTATTTTAGAAAAAAGCGTTAGACTCATTTCCTGAAATTCCATAGTTCAATCAGTTTGTGACAATTGAATATAACCATGCCATTTGCAGTGTGTTATTGGAGTAATATGCGTAGATACTATGCAAATGTATTCTTACTGCATGCAATATTGTGCTGTTATGTGGAAATTTTATTAGTTTGATTTTAACCTGTATAACTTGCTCATAATAAAGTTATTGCGTCTTCTAACAGATGAGTGGAAAACTTTAATTTGAATTATATGGTGGTCAATTTCTGATTCAATTATCCTATTTCTCAAAATTAACTATGATTAGAGCATCCTGGGAATTCATGTTTTTTTATAATTCATTTATCCATTCCATTGCAGTAGATTCCACATCTTCATCAATCTATTTGTTAATTAAATCTAAGCTATCTTTCTTGGCAGATACGAAGCCATGCACAGAAGTACTTTCTGAAGGTTCAAAAAAATGGGACAAGTGAACATGTACCTCCCCCTCGGCCAAAGAGGAAAGCAGCTCATCCATACCCACAGAAAGCACCTAAAAATGGTCCATATGGTGAACATTTAATCTTTCTTGATTTTTGTATGGATATATTGTAGGGTGGGATTGATGATCTCTCTTTTATTTCTCTACAAATTATGACCCAAGATTATACCATTTAATTAAAGCACTTTCAATGGCTAAGATTACACCTCCCAGTGCAATTTATTGCTCATCGGAAATAGCAGTGCCTGATATAATCTTAGCCAATCAAAGTGTTTTGAACATTAATTTACTACTTGTGTCATAATTGGTGTTAAAAAATAAGGACTAGTCATAACCTTGTAGATATATGCAGTGCTTGATTCTAAAAGTTATTGCTTATATGTGTGTATCTGGCAGCTCCTGTTGTATCCCAAGTTGCTGGCCCGTATCAATCTTCCACAGCATTGCTTGACACAGGATGTATTTATGGTCCAGATTCATCATCAGTTCTTGCAGATCCATATCCTGGTGCAGGTTTGTCTTCTTGGAGTTTTAATGCAGCGCCACCAGTAAATGTGTCGCAAGTGGCTAGAGGTATTATTTGTTCCTAGTGCATTGTCACTAGTTCTTTTTTCTCTTGAAAATCTTATGTTGCAACATCAATTGAAAGTATTTTTGTTCTAATAATAGTTTAATTATGTGGTTTTTAAGATGATGTTGGATTGGGCGGATCAACCATTGTTCAGAATTGTTACAGTAGTAGTAATGAAAGCACTCCAAGACCTTGGCCTGTTGGTGAAGCAACTGATCGAGGGGATCATGGAAAACCAACCAGAGGTTCGTATTTTACTTATAATTTTAGCTTGACAAACATTCAATTGGCAGTTGAGGTATAGGCATCCTTACAACATGGATGCCTGTTCTGTTAACTGTATTATTGGTGAGATGATGTTTTCCTCAATGCCTCAGATGTGAATACTATTAATATTGTTATAGCAGTTGGTAATGACTCTGATAAAGGATTAGGTGTGGTAACTAGTGCCGGTTTTCATTCTTGCTATTGACTAGAACCACAATGTTCTTCTGAAGTTTATATTCTGTTATCGATCATCATGAAGTATTTGTTTTCATGAAAGTTCATATAGCTTTGTTTTGTTTGTTTATGGCTTATTGTAAGGTTTGGATTGCCATCTTTCGTCATATAAGATTGTAATTTATAGGAAATGTATGATCATTTTGGCTGGTCGTATAATACAAATTTGATTTAGCTTTTGCTATGTATCTTCATTTTCACACTATTTGGGCAATGCCAGTGTGCATTTGTTATGAAATGGCAGTCTTGCTGGCTGCTCATGAAGGGCATCCTGAGATGATTTGACCTCAATGCTGAAAATACTTAGGCAGCTTTAAGTGAAGTTTTTTGACATTATTCGTTTTCTCCAGATTGTTTATCTCCTGTTCCTGAATATTTCGATTAATGAAAAATCCTCTGCTTCCGTGCTTCGTGCAGTTATGCCGGATTTTGCTCAGGTTTACAGTTTCATTGGCAGTGTTTTTGACCCCAATGCTTCTGGTCACGTTCAGAGACTTAAGCAGATGGACCCAATAAATTTTGAAACTGTAAGTCATTTCAAATTAATACCTTTTGTACATTTTGTTGGATGTAGTAATACTTTTTGGTGGTACAAGAAATAATGTTCTGTAACCAGCTGTGAGTGCATGATTCAATCTTCCCCTTCCTCCCCTCTTCCCTTTCTTACCGACAGATATTTAAAACGTTTTATGTGGGTTTTCTCAGGCATTGTTGTTGATGAGAAATCTTGCTATCAATTTGACAAGTCCTGAGTTTGAAGAACATGTAAGTGCTTTTCCCTTTCCTTATTTGCAGCCCATATTAATACATAAGTCATGGTTCACCTTGGTATTTATCTTTTCTTGATGCTGAAGATGTAAACAGTAGAAATGTTTGTCTTGTAATCTGGTATAATATTTCTGAGCTGCTCACTTTTGTGAATGATAGCTGGATGCATTGATAACGGGGCGCTGTATTAAGTGCTAGACCTTGTTTTTTCTGGTGGTCATTAAAAACATGGAAAGCCATGTAGGTGATGATATACTATCATGTCATTATCTTGAGCAAATTAATTTTGAACCAAGTGCCTTGAATCTTGGATTTCTAATTGGTGGAATAATTTTTAAGACTATGTAAATCTAATCTTGTGGAAGTTTTCGAACTACTCATTATTATCATGTTTGTCATCACTGAATTTTAATTTTCTTGCCCAGTTTCTTCTTTGTTGAAGTCATCATCTCTTAATACTTTTGGTGGGTGTAATCCCATGAAATTACAGTAGCAAGTTGTGTGATCTGATTTCTTTCTGACTGGATGATCCTTTTAGGTTTTAGCTCTTTAAATTGCATAATAGTTAAGTCAGGTAATATCGTCTATTTCTCTTATTAAATAAATATGAAATGGATGCAGAGAAGGATGCTTTCACTTTATGATGCGGAATCGGAGAGAGCTAAATTCAGTACTTCTTATAATAATATGCATGTTGCTAAATCAGAAAGTGTCATTCCATCTGTGTAAGGGAAAGGTAATGAGAGGATATTACTTGTTACACGATATTTTGCATTATGATTTATCACCACGCTGCTTGCTGACCTTGAAAATTGAATGCCAGGGCAAATGTGAACACACTTGTTTGAGATTTTGCGAGGGAAGAGTTATGGAATGGGGTGAATGTTCCATCTGTATATAAGTACGTGTGGCATCTGTCTAGGGCAGTTAGCTTTTTAGGTTGTGTATATATGATAGAAAAATCTTTTGTTGTTTATTTGAAATGTGGGGTTTTTCAAGGCTTGTATAGAAAGTTTGAGTGTCTGCGAGTTTTGACTTCATATCATAGTAATAGTAATACTTCTACTACCACATATGATCGTTAAGGAAACCCATGCTACTGTTATCAGAAAATCCTTGCACGCCGTCTCAGGGGGCATTAGAACCCAATGTTGTGGTTGATGCTGGAGTTGCAGTGCATGAATTCCATTTAATTTTGCTTAGAAATGCGTGTTTTGTTGTTTTGGTTTTTTTTATAGAATAAACAAAATGCGTACCCTTGAGCACGTTATCTACAGTTGAATAAAAGGATAAACCCCCTCAGAGAGCTAATAGAATCTAGCTTTAGTTGGCATCTTCTATCTAAAGACCAAAATGATCTTAATTTCTTCTGACCAAATACTGACTTAAAAAAAATAAAAATATTTAAAATCAAAAATTCGTAGAAATAAATCTTAGTATAATATTGAAAATTGATGAATAGGGTATGTTTGAAAAAAAAAAAAAAAAAAAAAAAAAGTCAATTCCAAAAACCCAGTGTAAAAATATAAAAAAAATCTAAACCACTCATCTCTGTACCCGTCTTAGTAGTGGATTTAAAAGCCTACACAAAAATCTGATACCAAAAAGCTCAAATAAAATTCTGACACCAAATCCAAGCCACCAGGGATTCGTGGCCTGCCTTGGTCACAAGCGGCGTCTCTGTGGCCTTTCTGGACCACGGACCGCTTACGCCTTGCTAATTGAGGTTAAGTACAGGCAAAACTTGAAAATACAAAAATTGAAATTCAAGTTCAATAAACGGAGTTTATGCGATCCATAATTTGTTTTTCTGCTATTGGTTTAATCTGATGGAAGACGGTTCTACAATTTTTGTTTTGAGTTGTAAAATGATGCGTTAATTTATTTATCTTTGCTGATGAGAGTGACCTGGAAAAATTAAGAAACTGTAAATAATAAAAGAAATAATCCTATGTATATATTGACAACTTTACTAATTATACTTCCCAAAATGTCAAAGAGCTTGTTTAAAGAACAGACTTAGTTATAAAATTATATAACTTAACCTAATTTTCCTTAAAGAAAATAACGAACACAAAAATAATCAAAATGCCATAAACTATCATCCTAGTATCATCTAAATATCTAATATAACATGCTTTAATTAGATTATTAAATCATATTATGGTAAAATGATCTAGATTTTTGCTAATCTTTAATTAGATTATTAAATCATATTATGGTAAAATGATAATAGATTATTGAGTTTAGCATAGTCTAACACTATATATTACTAATATAACATTTATTTATTATTTCTTTAAGAGTAATATTGAAAATTCACTGGATTTTATGACAGAATTTATACTTTAAATAAAACTTATAAATTTTGGAAAATTACAATTATTGGGTTGATCATATATGTCCAAACCCCTAAATAAAAACAGAAATTACATCCACCCTCAGACCCACTATAACCCTGTAGGACGTTCGGATTGAGGGTAGAAATTATAAATGAAACACTCAATTTTATTAGAAGATTATAAGTTTTGAACTTCACTAAACAAACCTAAAATAGTTTTTTAAATCAATCACCCACAATTTGCTTGAGTTGTAACCAAAATTACAAAAAAGTTATAAAATCAAAATTCAAAAGAAACATCGTCTTTCAACAAACCCATTAGACCAATAAGTTACGTAACAGGGAGTAAGACTACTAAGAGTTAAAAATTCTACCTGTGTCTAATAGCCAATGTGATGACACAGAAAATGAAGAAAAGAAAAAGAGATCTATTTTACTTCCAAGAGCCTCCCCAATTTTTTGCTTTACAGGATTACACCGCCAAGTTGGTTTTGTCCATAGAAAAGTTAAAATCATCTGAAAATCTGGGATGAATTAAGAGCATATAGAAAACCCAAACAAAGGCTAATAAAATTACGTAAAATCCATTAATTACACCAACTCAGGCAATAGCTCTGGAAAAAGCATGTTAAACCCATACTCATTGCAAATAGTTGCAGATCTGAGCAAGTGTGGATGACAATAGCACAATATACAAAAACATAACCCAAATCCACTACCTATACCTGAAACCCATGTCTAGCTCATAGTTATACATCCCCTGATTATTGCCAGCTGTAGCTAATGGGTGAATCTGCTTAGCATTTGATCTCAGCTCCATCTCGAAGAGCCTTTGTAGTGTCTCTGGATTATTGGCTCCACCCCCATCATCAGCAGCTGAAGATTTATTAAAGTATTGATAGTAAGATGCATATACTACTTTCTACAGCCATGTAATGACATATATTTCTTCGAAAATGACAAAAGAAAACATTGGTTAACAGAACTTGGTAGATGGGCTACCTTAGAAAGTTATATTTCGCACATTGACACCTGTCCTTTATTTGAGGAGAACCAAGAGATTTATATAATACCATGAAAATTAAACAAACAAAAATCTAAAGGCATCAACTGTAGCCAACAGAATGGAACACCTGAATTATGGGCTAATGTTCGACCTGAATAGAAGTACCCTGTGGTGTGAAACCAAGACTTAAGCCTTCTACAAATATACACAGGTTTATCGTTTTATAGTTTTCTTTAGCCACTTAAGATGCATATTCTACAAAACCTAGTTTTCCAACCAAACCAATTTGAAAATAATTAATCGTACTGACAACAAAAATGCACACAAATACCAAATAAAGAGGTGAAAACTTTACCTGTTGGTGGCATTCCATGACCAGCAAAATTGGGCTGGCGAGGACCAAAAGGGAAACCTTGCATTGGGTTCATATCTGGTACAAAACCCGGCATTTGATTGTTCGAATGAGGACTACTGGCAAATCCTTGTAGTAGATGAGCTGGAGGAAAACTTCCTGGCATGCGCATCTGTGGTAGCATAGGATGATGATTGTGGGCAGAAGGATCAAATCCAGGGAGTCCAGGGCGGGAGTGATGGAAAGGAGGACGAAGCATATTTGCAGGAAATTGATGAGTAGGTGGAGGATCATGATGGATGATGCCTTCTGGGCCCATGAACTTCATCTGAGAATTTATGTTAGCAGGATGAGACTCTAGTGGATTGAATAATGGTCCCAAGTGATTTAACGGTGGGTGAAGCTGTGGAGATGATGGTTGGATTTGCATATTATGAAGCAAAATATCAGGCTCCCTTGGATCATAAGAACCACGTAGAAAAGGTGAACCTTCTTGACCTGTAATGGGTCTTTCGTCCCCAAAGACAGAATTTAAAGCTGCTAGTTTTTCAGTAATGTCAACTGGTGCAGCTGGGGAGGGTAAAAATTCAGCTTTGGATGAGTTCTTAAGGTGTTTTGTACGATCACCAAGAGGGATCAAGCTATCCTCTTCAGGGAGTCGAATATCAACAGGCCCATCAAAGCCACGAAGTTTAGATTCTAATTCATTTCGAAGTCGTGGTGAATCTACTTCAGTTCGATGATCATCAAACCCTAACAAATGTTCTTTGCTCCTATCTGATTTTATTTGCTCTCTCTGATTTGATGCCAGAATACTACTTTCGTAACTAGTCCTGCTGGAACCAATGTCAACTTTAGATGAAAGGAGACCATCATGAATTTCCGAAATATCAACTCTGGAAGACACAACTGAGCCTCTTTGAGCAGATGAAGACGCTCCTACTGATTGTAATTCCTTCATAAAAGCTGTACCAAAAAGAGTTTCAAGTGTCAGACTCTTCCCTGAATCCGAAACATTTTCAGCATTTGCGTCCCTCAAATCATGAAGTGCATTGTCAATATTTGCTACTTCCACATGAAATTGTTTATCTAGAGACTTGATATCTAGACCAGGGAATGGTGCCACATCTTTCAGGCCAGTTCCCTTTTGTAACAATGAAAGGAGGTGCTGAGATGCATGATCATCAACATTTGCTTTTTTCTGTTCAGTCTTTGACTCACCAATACTCCCGCCTTGCACAGAAGACGGCAAGGTTGCATCACTTGTACTAATTTCTGATAGAATGGACTGTTCAAGGTCTTCACATGTCAGGACAGGTGCTGTTTTATTGATGTTATTGATATTACAATCACGTGATTGCTCAGAGTATTCAATTGTGACAGGGGTTAAATTTGACGCCAGATGTCTGTCCGCGAGCTCTGGGCTTTGGGCCGGAAAATTGGATGAGATGTGCCTTGTAGCCTTCACATCAGAAGGTTGCAATCCACCTTTTTCACTACCAACAATTAGTGAGAGTAAATCATTTGGCTTACCAGAGGAAAGTTCATCAGCTGGCTTCTTTTCTGCAGTAAAAGGATAAAAAGAAGAATCAGAGCTTAAACCACATTACTTGACATGTAAGCACAAAAATATTAAATTGCCACTATAAAAAATAATCAAACTTTAAATAAGTATGTTAGAATACCTTCATCAAGAAACCAATGAGCAAACTTGGAAGATTGGACAGCATGAGGACTCCACATGTCATCTGCTTTACTATCATGATGCTAGAGTCAAAAAAGAAATTGAAGGGGTTCAGATACTTTCATGCTAAGATTTTTCAGTTAATCAAAAACCAGAAATGGTACGCTCAACCAGATAACTTTTCTGCTTAAGCATATCATTTTTCAGTTGTCACCATCAAATTTAAAAAGAAAAAAAATGTACAAAATAATAGTATGATCCAAAAAGTTTTACTTAAACAACAGGAAGCAAATTACAAAATACTTCACCCAGCTGGCAAAATTATTTCCGTAGAGAACCAAAGCTACTAGATGGAGGACATCCACTATAATTTGAGGTAAGATGGCATGATTTCATTTTATTATTGAATAAATTTGTGATTATAGCATGGTAAGATTTATCTGAATAGTGAGGGTCCTCTTGTTGCTGACATGGCATAATTATAATATTCCGTTAAGCATGTGATTAAGATGTAATATTAAAATGGCAGCAAACCTAATCCCTAACACCTATTTTATAAAAAAAAAAAAAAAAAACCTAGGTGAACAGTAAAATTGAAGTGCACAAAACCTGCTGATATTTACTACCACCTATGACTTATGATAAATCGGAAAGAGCAGCGCCATATCTACTAATTTTTTTTGTAAAACGTGAGAGTATGGAAAGAACTTGTCTCCTGTCAGTACGAATGATTATTACCTCAACAAGATTATTGGAGGCACCACCATTAACTGTCAAAACATTGCCAAAAAGCTTATCAAGAATTGAAGATGACTGATCCTGACTTGATTCAGAGACAATTTTACTGTCTGTGACCTTCTCAACATCAACCTCTACACCTTCACTTTCCTCCGATGCTTCAAAGGTTTTCAGAAGATTAGAACTCTTGTATATTTGACCATCTGGGCCTGTTGTCTTACTGGACACATCTAGACCTGAAGTTAAATTTTGAACTTTATCACTCTTGCTATTTGCTGAAACATGAATACTCATACTTTCATGTGGATGAGTTGAACTAAATTGTTCTGCAGATTGCTTGTCCTCATTATCAAATGTCCCATTTGACAGAAGGTTGCCTTTGGCATGCAAGCTACCACCCTCATGTTCAGAACTTCCAACCTACACAAAAAACAAGAGACACATGCTTTTATTAAAACTTTAGCAAAATAAGACTCCTTTTGGGTCAGCATATACCAAAGCATAGTTTACCCATCATGATTGACAAGAACAGACATTGGTCAATGAACCACAAGATACACAACTTCACTATATTGAACCTCTGATCAGCAGATAAGCTGTATATACAGAATCAGAACAAAAAAGTAAATTCTTTCTGGTCATGACCAATTTCATCAGGAGGGGGGAAAAAAAAAAAACCACACCCAGACAGCCATAATTTCTGTGTGAATGACTTTGCCAATTTTACTGGCACACAGAAGGGTGTTACCCATAAGCTATGGATACAATTATGTTGCTCTGAGATTTTACCAAGTCCGAAATTAATAGAGCTATTTGCCAGACCTGCCCTCTCTTTAATGGACTCAGTTATCAGTGTCTAGTGCAGCTGCAAGTCTAAATATTAGATACATAATGTCTAAACCAAGCTTTTTCAGAATAAATGGAAGAGGTTAGTCATTCACAATTAGTGCAATTTAAACAGTACAGCCATCCGATTGCATTATAGGAAATATTTCATGTGATGTAAGTTACAGATTAAAGAGTTTGATATGAGATAAAGCAATCATTTAAGACAAGAACAAAGCAATTAACAAATTATACAGATTGTATACCATACTCATTGTATCAGCTACCAAAAACAAACAAGTTCATACAAGAAAACCAAACATTCATTGAATTGGAAAAAAGAAAGTTACCTCTAATGAAGGGGGATGGGTTACAGTTTTGGTTCCAATATTCCTTTCCAAAGTCGCATTTGAAAAACCCGGAGGCACAAGTGGTCTGGATGCAGGAGTTTGTGACGGGAGAACAGGTTTTTCAGAATCAGCATTTAGAGCATTGAGCATCACAGGTTTATCAAATTGATTGCTTTTATTTGAAATTCCCTCATCATCTTTGGAATCCTCCAGCAATGTCATAATATCAAATTCATCCTTACGCTTCTCTGGATTAACTTTTTGCTTTTCTTGAAAGGCTTTCTGCTGTTCCTTCCTCATCATCTCAAAAGAAGCTGCAATGGAAGTCATCAAAATTTTAACCTGAACTCGGTCAAAGACAAAAACCATTTGCCCAAACTGGAAGTGTAATAGAACTGAGTAAAAATGGTATTTCCACCAGACAATCATGTGAGATTTTACCTCTTCTCTTTCTTTCCTCTTCTGCTCTATCCTCACTTGTACATTCAGAAGAACCGAATGTTTCGTCATTGTATGAATCATTAGCTTCCCTCCGAGAGTGAGGTACTGCCTGAAAAATATAGCACAAAATAAATACACACAAAACATTAAGGGAGAAAAAATCCAAAATTATGAGCACCATGTTTCTGGTATATGTTCATCATCAGTGACCAGAAACAAACAAGTGCAATCTTAACCTTGTAAGGGCGTGGTGGATGATATGGCTCATTACTCCTATTTAGCTGGTAGTGATCATTAGCTCGAAACTTTGGAGCAGATGCTCCCGCAGTGTATCCAGACGGCCTTACAAATGAACCACTTCCAAGAAGTCCATCATGCTCAGGAACTTGCCAAGAACGCCGAGATTGGTTGCCAAAACGCCTTCCAGATTCTTCATTGTGATAGTGCAATTAAACAGGTCAGAACTCAGAAGATACCAACATTTCAGGACAAAAAAAAAAAAAAAGAAGAAGACAAATTAACCAAAAACAACACACACACACACACACACACACACAACCTAGTGAAATCCTGGCACCACAAATTGGAAAAACTGAATGATGCATGATAACACAATCTGTGCACAATTTCAATTCTTTAACATTAAATATTCAAATAATTACCTGAATCCCAATCAGATTGCGAGTCACCATCCCTATCACTCCGTCCTGAAGAGCGACTATCCCACCTTCCATGGATTCCCCGAGAAAAATTACCAGACTCCCCTCTTGTAGGTGGGGATGAACCATACTCATTTCTCCTGAAACTATGCAGTGACAACCCGCCAGGAGGTTTTTGTTTATCTCCAGGAGCATCCTGAAATTCACTAAGCAATAGAAAGAATTGCATTAGAAACACTAAATATCAATAGTGTTATATATAACAGCAGTAACAAAAGGCAACTCTATATAAAATAGGCATGTTACCTCAAAAGAGATTGGTCAAATCCACTGGGTAACTTTTTGCAAACGTCCAGTTCACAAAAAGATAGTAGAAAATCTCTTGAATACGTAATTTTCACTTTCCTGAACAATCATCAACACAAATTTATTATTGCCAACCAAAATTAATGACCATAACAAAAAGCAAACAATCAAACTAATTATAAAAAATCAATCAGTAAGAGTAGATTACTTTTGCGATTCACTGTTTGTCTCGGCAGGCTGATCCAGAGTGTGATTGTCTTCATTTTCTAAGCTCATTCTGTAAAATTTTACAGAAAACAAGAGTGAAAGGCAGAGTCCGACGGATATATTTCTTCAACTCCAATTACACCAATCGTCACCAACAATACAGGCCTAAGTTAACCACCGGAAACTCCAATATCCACTTGCCTCAATAGCTATTATATCTATCTACTCAATGCTATCCCTTCAAACAAAAAAAAAAAAACCCATTAATTTACAATGGAAAATCAAATCATTTGGTGCAACTAATAGGCTAATTATCGCTTAGCATCATCCAGTAGTATCCAATCATATTAAAATCCACATCTAGCAGAAATCAAGAGCTAAATTAGCAGCTGTTTTTAAGCCATTCCATCCTCTGATCCACTAAATCTACAATCAAAACCAATCCGAACGGTCCCTACCAAAATTGCCCCTCGCACTCGAATAAACGGAGAAACACAGAGTTTCAATGCATCATTTCTTTTTTCTCTAATCAGCACTTGAATCTCGCATCTTACTCCATATAATCCGATTAATTACCTCCAACTGTTCTCAAATTCATATGATAAACTAACCTGCTAATAAGATCGGATGACACAAACTCTAGGGTTTGTAGTAATCTAACCTAGTAGCTCCCAAAAACTAGGGTTTTTTATCCTTGAAGAGCAACAACCTGGATCCAGGGACAGAAAGGAAGAGAATTAGGGTTTCTTGACCTCAAACCTTTTCAGCTCTTTTTCCTTTTTTTTTTTTTTGACGATCGATCGATGAGAGAGAGTTTCTTGAAAAGGGTATTTCTGAAAGAGAGACTGATAATCGGCCGCTCTTACCGTTGCAAATGACGCTCTTCACCTTCACATCGCCAAAAAATTAAAAAAAAAAAAGATTATAGTAAAAATTAAATTAAAAAGACAAGAACTTTTACAGAAAACACACGCGCCGCTGTCTCTTGTACCACACGCTCTTATATTATTGGAGCTATGACATTGAATTTGAAGAAACTGGTGTAGAGGAGCGTGGAATTGCAATTAGTTTGTGTGGAAGATGGATTTATTTTAAATTATAAATAGGAGAATTTACCCTCACACAATTTCATCGATAATGTCACCAGTTTCTGAAACTGTGAATTGTATTGCTGTTGCGATGTCATGGTGTTAAATAAAACAACTGATTGCTTAAGTAAATAATAACCATCCATTTCCTTTTCTAGTTATTAAACTAACCATTTTTTTTCTTAAATAGAAATTTGTTTGGTATTATGGTAGTATAAATTAGTTTTACATATTAGTTAGCGTGTAATGCATTAAAGGACGGCTTTAGTTGTGAGCGTTGCTATAATGGAAGTAATTGAGAGCATGGTTACACTGAATGGACCAACCATTAACGATAAAATCTCACAAATCAATACTCAATTATTGACTGGACAAATGATTGATTAAAGTTTTTAATAAAAAAAATTATGCTTAGGTGCCGTTCAGTTTTGATGTTGAATAAAATATCAAAATGTGAAATGATTTTGGTTAAATATGTAAGGCATCTTTAGGTGCTTTTGGTTCATTATTTTGGATAGGATTTTGGAAATAATATTAGGTAATTGAATAAAGGAGTATTACGAGGTAAAATTTAAAAATTTATGAAAAAACCTCTAGATTTACTAATTTAATTAAACACCCCAATATATAAAATGACAAAAACACCCCCACCACCTGCAGTGCCAAATTCCGGCCACCACCGCCGGAATCTGATCGAAAAATTACGTTACAACACAGACCGGTCGAATCCGAATGTGGTCGTCGACAGCCGCAAAGGTTCATCTTTGGCCGTCAGCATGACCGTCGTTTTAGGTCAACGATGGCCAAGATTTGGCCGTCGTTAACTATCAACGATAGCCATTTCTTGGTCGTCACTAACGACTAGATCGGTGAATAACCGGCCGGTTTCGGTTGTAGTGTAAGCGTTGTGATAGATTCCGGCTACCATCGACGGTGGTTGCTGGAATCTAGCAAGTATGGGTGGGTGCCTGGGTGGGAGTGTTTTTGCTAATTTTTAAACTTTTTTCCTAGGGGTATTTAGTGAAATTAATAAATTTAAGGGGTCTAAAGGTAATTAAAAATACACTAATATTTATAGAATAACGTGCCAAACAATATTTGGGGAATAGGATTGAGAATATGGGTAGAAATAATGAACCAAACGCACTCTGTATATATAAAAAGATAGATTAGCAAACGAATCTCACAAAGAGGTGGCAGTTAAGTCGGCATTTTCACCACATTTAAGACATAAAATGATTTTAACTAAACTCAAGAAACAGTTGTTTCTTACTTATGGAATGATCATTCTTATCTAAGGATCAATCATCTATTTTTTATAGAATGACAATTTTGTATGAAGGGATGATCGTTCCTTAAAGGAATGACTGTTCCTTCATAAGGAGTTGTTCCTTTATAAGGAATAATCGTTTCTTAACGAAGGAATAATTGTTTGTCCCTAAAGAATAACCGCTCATGTTTAGTCAAAATCATTGGTTGATGTATTAATATCAACTCAAGTGTCACGCCTGTTTGTGAGATAAGATTCGTGAGATTCGTTTATCTGCGTAGTATTACCCATATATATAATTGGTGAGGTTAATAGATTAATAGTTTAACTATCTCTGGATGATCGAGTGATTCTATAAAGACTTTTTAGTGTATTACTTAAGAAGTTATGAGTTCGATTATTTCCTCGGATGTTAATAAGAATAGTTATTAGAGTTCTTATCTGATTAATAGTTTAAAAGTCTCGAAAGATTAGTTGAGATATACGTAAGTTGGCCTGAACAACCTTTATCATTAAAAAAAAAAAAAAAAGACAAAGATGATGTAAAGGCAAGGTTCCTTATCCAGTTATCCTCTCACACAGAAAGGGAGAAAAACCCAGATAACAATCAACCCAAATCAAGCAAATATTTACACAAAGCCCACAAGAGCAAGACATGCAAGTGCCACGTTCGTAAATATTGTCGATGATAATACCATTTCCCCACTACACCTCTGTCTAAATTACAACCTTTCCACTGAAGCTCTACCGCCAAACACACTCGACAGTATTACAGTGTGAGAAGATAGAAACAAACTCAACCTCAAATGGCGTGTCCCTCACTGTTACACTCCTCTACGTCGTCGTTTCGCGGTCAATTTCCTGTTCTATCATCTCCATCGTCTCTACGGACAGCTTATGGAAACCCTAGAAATGTGAATGGGGTGGCAACGGTGAAGGCTGCTACGGGAGCGGGAGGCATTGTGTTGGTGGATAAATCCGAATCAGAGAAGACCCATCGGCTTAAAACTACTTTTCTTGAAAAGATTGTTCCTTTGCTCAAAGAGGAGTTCTCTTACACTAATATTCTTCAGGTAACCTAATTTAAATCTTATTTTAATTAGTTTTGATACTATACTTTTATTTTAGTTATGACAAACCCATTTCTTAGACGATGATAGTTATTTGAAAAAATTGCAAAAATATTTTGATAATGAGTTATGACATAATCATCCCCCCGCAAGAGACATGTAAAATGAGCAAACATCTAATTAGGAAGGGGCTCATGAATGTAAATAATATATTCACATCTACGTTTAAATTGATTATTAAAAAATAAATTGGGATGAAGATACTGATAAACATACACCAAAATGTAAACTTCCAGTACTCTGCTTACCGTTAACACAGAGAAAATAAGAGTAGAGGAAATTCAGGGTTGGTAAGAGCGCAAAAGAATTATTAGTAACCGACAGTAGCTAGGGAGTTTGAGCGAGTTGTAGGAGAAAATGAAGCAGGAATCGTAAGGTTACAGTGGTGGCGATGGATGTGCACCACAACATTCTAAGCAAGGCAGCGAGCCCGGGGCTTCTGGCTTCAAAATAGTGCAATTAATCCTATGAGGCAAGGAGGGAGAGAATCTACATGCCATGTGCTATAGATTTGGTGAATGGGAATAATTAAAACAATTTCTCACGAAGTACCACAAACAATAAATGTTGCCATGACCTATCTTGATAGCTAGTGTTTCTAAGTATAATAACTTAAGCATTTGAGTTATTTGTGTATGTGTTGTTGTACACATTAATACTCAATTCTTACTAATGCAGTGCTGGCCCTCGTAAATTATGGAGTAGTTACCATAACTCACTTTTAAAATGTGAGTGGTCTACATCTCATGGTGAAATGAACTTCACTTTAGTAACCAGTCACAGTATAAACTTCTCACGTTAGAACAGATACATCATACATGTTAAGTTAAACTTTAACAAAGATCACAGGGTGAGTTGTTGGTCACTCATAAAACAAAATGCATCTAGCCAGGATATATGTTGTTTAAAAAAAGTAAAAGTAAAAGCAAATTCCTGGATGGACAATGACCCTGGATGAAATGAGCATTTGCTTGCAATTATTTGAAATGAACTGGTTCCAGGAGGAGTCTTGCATCATCAGATGGATTCTTGTAATATTTTTTTATGAGTTGGTGTTGGTAGCGAGAGAGTTAGTTTCAAGATCATGACTGTTATTCAGATAGAAACAAAAGCTCCAGCTTTACTTGTTATATATAAGGCCATTCTTTAGAGAATCTTGAAAAAGTTTTTGCGAGGTACACTGAATAACAATCACATCTTAGAACAAGAAGAAGTTTCTGAAACTGAAACTTTTGTGTTTTATGAAATTTGAGAGAGAGATTGTGAGGGAGGGATTCTCTTTAGTTGGGTACACTTCTATTGTTGTATGAATTTCTTTAGATTTCAGCTGCCAGTTTATGTTTATTACCATATCAATGGTTGCATATTTTCTTTTTAATGGATTGGCAATTACATCAAATAAATTCTTTCATTTTTTTTTTCTTAAATGTGCAATTTACGAATTGGCTTGAATTTGCAATGTGGAACTTGGGTAGGTTCCAAAGATTGAGAAGATTGTTGTGAACTGTGGCATTGGAGATGCTGCCCAGAATTCTAAGGGTTTGGAAGCAGCAATTAATGACTTGGCACTCATTACAGGGCAGAGACCTGTAAAGACTCGAGCTAGGAATTCCGTTGCCACCTTCAAGATCAGGGAAGGTCAACCACTTGGGATTGCTGTCACACTTAGAGGAAATGTGAGCTTATACTGTTTCTTTGGTAGTTCTCATTTTTTAGCCGTTTTTTTAGTATTCTCATGATTCTTTGCTACATATATTTTGAAGATTAGAGTTTATATTTTTATAGTTGCTGTGTTGCTTGATTGAAATGAAAGAGAGTTGAATGGAATAATCTTATGCTGCATACTTCTTTGGATGATATAACAGATAATGTATTCATTCCTAGATCGGCTGATTAACTTAGGACTGCCTAGAACAAGGGATTTCCAAGGTGTGAACCCTAATAGCTTTGACGGACATGGGAATTACAGCATTGGTGTTCGTGAACAGAGTGTCTTTCCGGAGATCAGGTATGATGCTCTTGGTAAGCCAAAGGGAATGGATGTTTGCATTACAACAACAGCCAAAACTGATAAAGAAGCCCAGAAACTTTTGGCTCTAATGGGAATGCCATTCAGAGAGGGTGGTGGTCCTGCAAACTTAATCCGCAAGAAGAAACTGAAGGCTCATCATTTTGATTCAAAATCCAAGGGAAGATCGCGAAGATGAGGGCTTATTCTTCCCTGGAGGATGGGATTTTTTTTCTTTTTTGTAACTTGTGTAATTTTGTTGTTTGAAAGTTATGTTATCAGCAGTGATGTTGGATTCCATTTTTAGGTTGTCTCATTCAATATAACTTGGTATTGCTTACATGTATTTGTAATGTCGTATGCAAAAATTTAAAAGAGAACTGTTTTACTTTTATATTAAAACGCCTTTTGTTTCATAATACAAAAGAAATCTTAAGTCTGATGATGGTCGTGGAAATAATCATCAAAACTATAATCCAGTTGTTATTTCATTTAAATAACTCTGAATCTCTGATTATATCTTGATCTTGAATGCTTTACTATGCGTTAAAAATATATATTTTATTATAGTTTTTAATTAAGAGGGTTATATAAAAAATGTATTAGATTATAAAAGTCTGTTTGGTATACTACTTTCTATCTTATTTTCAAACATATTTTCAAAATAATTGTTTAATCCTTATTTGTTCCGTTATTTAGGAAATACTATTATATTTTATTTAATTACTTTTAGATCTTTTAAGTTTATTAATTTAATTAAACACTCTAAAAAAAAAGTTTAAAAATTAACAAAAACACTTTTATTCACCTATATTTGTCAAATACACTTTCATCCACCATCATCAGGTATAATGTCGCACTATCAGCTAGATTTAACCGGTAGTGCGTCGATCTATCATTTATCGACAAGATCCATCGTGGATCTGATCAGAAAATGTTAGATCTTTGGTCATAGCTGGTCTTCAACGATGACCAAGACATGATCGTCGTTGACGACCAAACACAACAAGATTTGGCATTTTTTGGCCAAATCCACAATGGATCTGGTTGGAAAAGATCATCTTGACGCATGATCGGTCAGATTCAGTAAGTCGTATGCTGTATTGCCAGATTCTGACAATGGTAGCCAGAATTTAGCAACTGTATGTGATGAGGATGTTTTTATTATTTTACAAAATTTTTATATATTAGGGTATTAAATTAAATTAACAAAATTAAAGGTTTTTTTTATTATTTTTCAAATTCAACCTCCTAATAATCACCCAATTCTACTTATATTTAACTGTTTAAAAATAATTAAAAAAAAAATACCACTGCGGTCAACGATTCGGCAAACCCTTCCTGTTCCACGTTTGCATTGGAGCGGCTAGGTAGTAGGCTAGTAGGAATAGCTGTAGTAATAACTATGAAGTACGGTGGCTTCGACGGCTAGAAAGAAATAAGATCAGAATAAACGGATGACAGCGAAATGATATGTTGTTATCAGATTGGATTGGGAGGAGTAGTTTCAACCGCAAAACCTTCTGTTTTCAGAGCAGAGCATCCCATGGCTCCTGGTCTTTCTTCCGACCGTTCAATCTCCGGTGGTGGGGCCCTGTCTCCCCGTCGTGATCTCGTTTTCGTCGTTAATCCCCGAGGTTTCCATCTTTTCAATGTTTTCTCTCGGAGTTCTGAGTTGTTTGGTTGTTTCTAATACGAAAGTTCTGTTGTTTTCTTGAAACAATAACTGGAGCAGGTGCTAATGGAAGAACGGGTAAGGAATGGAAAAAGTTGCTTCCATATCTTAGGTCTCGACTCGATGCGGATTGTAATGTGAGTTTCCTATTTGACTTATTAATAATTAGTAATTTTTGCATTTATTCATGTATGTGCTTGGCCCAGTAACTAATGCAACAACCTCAAGTTATGAATTTGAATCTACTGTTTAGATTTTTGTGTTTTGGGACCAAATCTTTTGATGATGAAGGGGTTTTTTTAGTGTGCGAAAAGAATAAAGAAAAAGAAAAGATTGGATATATAGTGTTCCTAAATACTTCCCAATGGTTTGAATTGTCTAGTTAATTTGGCTTTGATTTTGTCAATTTTTATTTTTTTTAATCAGGTATACAACCATAAATTTCAAAATAATTTTGGAGTCGTTTTGTAGTATGGTTTGGTTGTAAATGTTTTTTGTTTCTTTATGTTTTAGAGTTTGCCTATTTCTGTTCTGATTGATATCATTTAAGTTTTGGCTGCAAATATTAATGATTTTAAGAAATGTCTTAGCTTATATTCTGAAAATTTTGATATTTCCTTTTGGGGTTTGGATTTGTTTGCTTAGTCAGTGTATCGTGTACCTGACAGATATGTGAATCCTTGACTTCTGGTCCTTCTCATGCGATTGACATAACAAGGGAGGTAGGTATTGAAGTCATTCTAGATTGCCCTTGAAGTTAGTTCAGGTTCTTCATTAAGAGGTTGGTTTAAATTCTGTAGTGTATATTTATAAGCCCCATGGTGTGCAGGCTATAAGGGAGGGTGCTGATGCTGTAATTGCAGTTGGAGGAGATGGAACTCTTCATGAGGTGCAGTTTGTTTCTCTTTCAAATAGTATGTTAATTTCAACATTTTGTGCATTAGGGTGTGTATTTTTTTCTGCAACTCAGTAAGAGATCACTGATTTACTGTTTTGGTAACTAATGAACTTTCTATGTGAGCTTAGATGGATAGATACATAGATAAATAGATAAATAAATAGCAAGGAAGGAATATGTTTAACAGTTATTCAAATAAATGGCCTTATATTTTGTTATCATAGGCCCTGATTAAACCAGGTTTGAACTGAAATATGTTTATTGTAAGCTTTGGACTGAGAAAAGTATTTGAAAATGCAGTAAAATGGTGTCAGGACTTCCACATTTCTTTGTTACTAATGTCTTTATGTTGGTAGATAGAGTGTAACTTGCATCTTGCTTTATGATCGGCAGGTTGTTAACGGATTCTTTTGGGCTGGAAAAACTGTAAGCAGTCACAATAGAGAGTCTGCTCATTCAACTGCTCTTGGTGTAAGTTATTTCCACGGCATTCCATAGGTTTACTTACTGCTTCTTGTGCTTTTAATTGTGCCAAGTGATGCATGTGGATTCATTGACTCCTTGCTATGGATTTCTTGAGGGTATCTATAATGATGTTGTACCTTTCTACAGGTCATCCCCTTAGGCACTGGATCTGATTTTGCAAGAACATTTGGTTGGTAAGTTTGTCCCCCTCTAATTTGGTTTTGATTTGGTGGGCTTTTTTGATATATAATACCCTCTAGATCTGAGTTTTCTGTGGTCATCTGTTTTGGTAGGAAAAATGATCCTCACGAAGCCATTGAACGCATAGTCAAAGGTATCACTTGCCCCTTTTTAACTTGATGCCATTTTAAAGTCAAAAAAAGATTGGAGAAGCTTTTACCTGAAGAAGAATTCAAATGGCTCACTGGATTATATGCCTTTTCAGCTGTAATATTCTAAGCAATGTTTTTCAGGGATTAGATCACGGATTGATGTCGGAGTTATTAGTGGAGAAAGCGGAGAATCCCATTACTTCTTAAATGTTGCTGACATTCATTTGTAAGGTTAATTAGGGATTTCTCAGATTTTAGCAAAACAAAGGTACATTCTGATTTTAAAATTTTATTGCTGTTTGCTGTGGAATATTGCAGGAGTGCAAAGGCAGGGTATTATGCTTCAAGATATAAGAGATTTGGAAACTTATGCTATGTAATTGGTGCTTTGCAAGCTTTTATGGGGCACAAAAACCAGGACCTTAAAATCAAGGTTAGCATTTGTAAACTCTCAAGTTAATGGTTAAGTCTCTAAAGATCTTACACATCTTATAAGTGACAGAAATGTTAAGCTATAATATTTTTTTTTTTTTTTTTTTTTTTTTAAATGGGAGCATTTAGTTCTGCACATTTAACATTATTTACTCATTGGAACACCCAGTCTGCTCTTTTACCTATAAGAATGCCAATTGTTCTAATTTAACTTGATAGATTGTTGTAAATTAGGTCAATGAGGGTGAGTGGCAAGAGTATTCCCAAGTGACTGCCCTTTGCATTGGAAACGCAAAATACTTTGGTGGTGGCATGAAAATTACCCCAAATGCTGACCCTCACAATGGGAACTTTGAGGTGGAATACTTTAGCTTAAAATTTCTCGTTTTTAATTAATATTTAAAACTTGGTGTGGTGGTTATCTGTCTAGTATGTTTGAGCTTGCTACATGTGCTCGCTGCAGGTTGTGATTCTTCAGGACTTCAAGTGGTATGACTTTATTCTGAAGTTGCATAAACTGTACAGTGGGACACATTTATCCGTGAAAAATGTAACTTCGAGAAGGTAGGTTCTATCTTAGTGGACAAAAAAACTCTTTACCATCTTTATATTTTTCGCTAGGTTATATTGGGCATTATGATGTAAATGTTCAGAACCTAAGATTCTTGTCAATTCTCAAGTTTGCTCAATGTTGTTGTGTGCTATTAAACTTGTTTCCTGGTTATTTTTGCTAAATGATTGGTCACCCTTGTAGGTGGCCTTCCTTCTTGCCGCCGAATCATGTCTTTTTGTATTTAATTAAAAGCAGGCTTCAACCACCTTGTGTTTTGCAATCTTTCTCCCTTTTATTATGGTTGTTATTAGTTTGAGGTTAAAATGATTCTTTTGATCGTTGATCCTTATCATGCTTTTAATGGGGCATAATTATATTTTTATACATTATTCTGGTGTCATCTAATTTTCTGCTTCTACAGCGAAATCAGTAATTCAGTATGAAAAGTTGTTTTAGCTAAAGTAGGGGTAGAATTGATTCTTTATGGTTTAGCTTGATCATTGTTTTGTGCTGTTAGATCTGGCTTTTAAATTGGTGGGTTTTACATTCATGATTTTGTGTCTGTGACAGTGTACATTCTATTGAAGTGGAGGACATTTCAGGCAGTGGCAGCATTTTTGTTCAATCTGATGGAGAGCATTTAGGATTCCTTCCCAGGAAGTTCTGTATTTTACCTGCTGCAATTGAGATGATATACTAAGCAGGGATAAACATATGACCACCTGAAGTGATTTTGACTATTTGAGACCGATTTTGACCAATTCACCCATTTTGTGTATCAATAAACAAACACTAATATAACTTTTTCAAATCTATAAATTTTAGACTCATGAATTTGTTAAATTAATTTCAGTTTATTACAATTTTCCCCTAAGATATTTGAAACAACAATTTATCTCTTATAGTTACAGTTATGTTGGTGTTTCTATCATCTGATTAATATTAATTTGTTAAATTAAATAGGAATATAGATTCCCCGGGGGGTTGGAATTGTTATGTATGATATCTCAGGGGGTAAATTGTATTGTGATCAAACTGCCAACACTACCAAAAACCCTGGAAGGAGTAATCACTAATCAGCCAAGGAAAATTCGACAAGTCTCGTGCCTACAGTCTCTTGATAAAAGGTTTGTCTCCGCGACTCCGCCATGTCCATTTATCAATAAATGGATTAACATTGTCATCTGACCATTAAGCCAGAATGCCCTGTGAAATTTTTATGGGTCGTGGGCCCATATCAAGTATGTATGGTTCTCTTTCCCATTGTTATAGTTGCTGATTACTTTCTGTGGCTGTGGATTATTTGACGCTTGATATTTAAAAGAAAAGAAACCCGCGGGAGAAAGTTCTACCTTTCAACTCTTTCCCTTCCCCAAATGGCAACTGTTCTCTCGTTGGGTTTTGCTACCAACTTTCCCCACTTCAAGTCTCCCCAACACTCTGTTTTTTTCCAGCCAACTTATAATTGCAAAATCTTCAGAATCTATTGCAATAGAGAAAAAACAACTACCAATTTATCCACCAATCAAGAATCTGAGCCTCAAAATGCACTGCTTAAGATAGCTTGGTATGGCTCTGAGCTTCTTGGAATTGCTGCTTCATTTCTCCGTTCACCATCTAATGTTGAAGCACCTGAAAATGATCTCAAAGTTGCTACAGATGGGTCAGGAGTTGTTGATCGTGCATTTGTTGTGGAAACTATCAAAAAAGATTTTGAAAGATCATATTTTGTCACAGGTTTGCAGAAGTTCGATCTACTAAATTTTATTAAGCTAATTACCTCCTTGAGCTCTGATCTTCAGTTTGTGTCCTTCGTTATTTAAATTAAGCTGCAAAGCTCTGAATTTTTTTCACTTATAATAATCTTCTGAACATGCTACCGTGACTTTTTCGAATGAAATTGATGCAATAACATACTGATTGCTGACTGGGACTCCAAACAAATTGAAGGTTTTTTTTGTCCAGAAACAGTAAAGAGTTTTGTCGAAAATTGCGAGTGTAAGCTAAAACCTTTGGAAACCTGGATATCTTTTTACGAAATTGATTTAGAGATTTGTTATATCTCATCATATTATTTCATTCATTATACTGATCTCACAACATTTTGTTCAATGTTATCTGTAGTTCTGTACCAATACCTCGAAGTATGCTCCAAACTATGTACTTCATTTCTTGCCCTTTACTGATATTTGATCCTTTTATACCAAAAATTCAAAGGTGTGAGGTTTTCATACAAATATCAAACTTGGATGTGAGCTATCTGAAATGAGAACTACCAAAAATTTGCACATCATATAGGGACAAAAATATGATGTTTCTCTGTAAATTTAAAGCGTATCTTTGTTTGCATCATATCTATAATCCAATCCAATCCCTGAGAAATCCATAACTCTAAATTTCAGGCAACCTTACCCCCACTGCTTATGAGGAGGATTGTGAGTTTGCGGATCCAGCAGGTTCCTTTAGAGGACTTCCTCGTTTCAAAAGGAATTGTACAAATTTTGGATTGCTTATCGAGAAATCAAATATGAAGCTCATGAAGTGGGAGGATCTTGAGGTAAGCTAGAGGAATCTGGTTTAACACGTAGTTATATTATATATTAGTTTCTTAGTTATACATTTTAGTTACATTAATTTAATGGCATTCATTCCTACGCTATGGAGCTTATGATTTTGTTTGCTGAATGAATTTTCTTTCTATAAGCAGTTGTTTCTTATTAACTTCTGGTATTAAATTGCATTTGAACGCAGGATAAGGGAATCGGACACTGGCGATTTAGTTGCATCATGTCATTTCCCTGGAAGCCTATTCTTTCTGGTGCGTTTTGGTTTCATTTAATGTATAAAGGTTTAAACCATCAAAAGCACCATTGCATGAGAAACAGGCAAAAAAAACTTTTCATAAACCTTTTTCTAACTACTAATAGTTTTTGAGAAACATGAGTTTGTTTTTTGTAAAATGCTAGGGTTTTGCAAAACCTTAACAAAATGACTAGAAACACATTTAATTAACAAGATTCTGCTTCTTATGATAGTATCACTGCATTTATCTTATGTAAGTGAATATGTTCCTCTTTGTTGCAGCAACTGGATATACAGAGTATTACTTTGATATACAAACTGGAAAAGTATGCAGGTAACTGCAACCAGGCACACATTTTTTTACCTTTTGAGTATGCCATTATAGTTAAATGTAGGTTCTAATTAACCTTTTCAGGCATGTGGAGCACTGGAACGTTCCCAAAATGACACTGTTAAAGCAACTTCTGAAGCCTAGCCGAGGACTTTGGCGTCGGAAGGCCAGTGGTTGAAGAAACAGTAGAAGGGTTACCGTAATAACATAATTTCTCATTGGGTATTTGATGAAATAGGTTAAGTCAATCAAGATGCTTTAAGCTTTAATTAATGGAGATCGTGTAGATAGTTATTAGTTTTTAATTTTTGAAAAAAAAAAAAGTGTTTCCCTGTTATCTGAAAACAATTTTGATTTGTAAAATATAATATAAAACTAAAGATCAATCGTTGTATTTTAATTCTCAAATGCATATTGAAATTAGAAGATTTGTCTTCTGCAGTGACATCTTTGTGTTTTAATTACTACCTAGGTTTTGAAAATTTGAAATTTTTTATTTGCAACCAAAATGAGAACATTAAAAAAAAAAAAAAAAAGAAGAAAAACCGAAATTCTCTTTGGATTATAATTTATCTTATAAATTTACCGAAACCATTACATCTTCTTTGGATTATAATTTATCTTATAATATATCAAATTGAATGATTTATCTTATAATATATCAAATTATATTCTTTGGATTAATTTTTAAAATAACCGACTCCAAATAGTAAATGTCTTAGGAACAGGCAATGACGTGAAAATGGAGGGGGGTTTTAGTCTTCTGGACACGGTGTCATGTTATTATCATGTTTCAGCTTCACTATAAATTGCCGTCAATCACCGTGTGCGCATAACAAATATTACTAATCTCATACACCTCTCGACGTCTGTATTTCTCCCTCAAAAATATCTCTCTCCCCACCGCACCTAAAAACTTCACCATGGTGTTTCCGTACATGGAATCCGTCGTTGGTACGCATTTCTCTATTTATTTTATTTTCATGTTTGACTGATTCTTGTCTGGTTGAGATTTTTAGTGATCTTGTTTTCATTTTTCTCTGCCTTTTGAACTCAAGATATTGTTGATTTTTTTTTTTTTCATGTCTGATAATAATTTCTATTCGAATGATGTTAATTTTCTCGCTTTTTTTTTTTCTTTTTAGGTGTTGAGTTTTCGACATATATGATGTCAGTATTAGGGCTTTTTATAGTATGTATTTTGTTTCTGGGACCATTCTTGAATAGGATAACCCTAATGTGATTTTAGTCACTAAAGTGTTTCCATGCTTGCTCTGAGGTTTATTTAGTTTCTTTTTGTTATTAATCAAAGAGTGTTGTTCTATTTCGTCAATGTTGCAATTGATTTTTGGAAACTAAAATGTAATAGATTTCGGATGTTAAAGAATTTTTTTGTATTCTATTTTAATTGATTGGGTTATTAAAGACGGTGAGAAAGCTCTTATTTTATTAATCGGTGTGAAAGACATTCTTGGCCTCCGATATAAGGATTTGAGTTTTCTTGAACTCTCCCAGAGGTACCTGGTAAGAACTCACTTCAAAGAAGCCTTCTTTTGAATGAAAAATTCTCAAACTGTTGCGTATAGGATAATCTAAATTTAGGGCTTTTATGGTCTGGTTTTTGGATGCTTCATACATTTGTTGTTGTGGTAATTGGCTTTTAGTTTGTTTTCATTTAACTTCTTGTGCAGGTCTATTCACCTCAGCCTGCTTGTAGTTGATGGGTATTAGGGCTAACAAATATTAAGTTAAAATTTTATCTTGGATTTCTTCTTTTTGGTTCCTGGAAACCAACTAATTCAATTCAAAGAAGTTGATAGTTTTAGTGGGATATTTATAACAACCTGGAATGGTTTATTTTAATGCACTTCTTATTTGCCTGCAATATGATTTGAAACAGTCACAATTAAATAATTATGAAATTGCAAGAGTTGAAACTAGGTCAATGCACTGCTCCCAACCCACGAGCTGGTTATCTGATATTTTAGTAAGCTGCAAAATTTTCATGCTAGAGGCTCTAGTTTATGGGTTTTATTTTGATAATTTTCAACAACTAATTTACAGGTTATGCACTTTAATGGTATATTTTCTTTTCTTTTAGATCTTAGGTGTTTCTTTGTTTTGACATTAATTTTTATTTTGTTGCTAAACTTGTACATTTACAGGTTTTATGATCTTGATGTATTTTTTTGAAACTTATCTGGATTTGCGGCAACATGCTGCACTCAAACTACCAACACTCCCAAAAACTTTGGAAGGAGTAATCAGCCAAGAAAAATTTGAGAAGTCTCGAGCCTACAGTCTTGATAAAAGGTTTAACGCTGCCAATTATTGATTATACAATGGATTAACATTGTCATCTGACCATTAACCACCTTTAACTTGTCCTGACCCTTGCAAATGATTGTCCTCATTTTAGTTTATTCTTTTTTGTTTTATACAATGCTCTACGCTGATGCATCTATGTAAATTTCCAGCAACTTCCATTTTGTTCATGAGTTTGTGACCATACTGATGGACTCAGCAATTTTGTTCTTTGGTATATTGCCTTGGCTTTGGAAGGTGAGTAATTGGTTGTAGTGTTATTGAGCCCTCCCTTCAGATTGAATTATCACAATCTAATCTTTCTTCTAACTGTAGAAATCAGGGAACTTTTTGGTTTTAGCTGGTCTTGATGCAGAGAATGAAATAATACACACCCTGGCATTTTTGGCTGGTGTTACTTTATGGTCACAGGTGTGTATCCTCTACCAAGATTTAAATGGGTTTTTGCTTTCTTCATGACCAATGAAAATCCATATTAACATTGAATTAATTTCTACATCTTATCTTCCAATCTGGTGGAAGTGATTATTTGTTTGAAATTTTTGTGCAGCTCACCGATTTGCCATTCTCTCTCTATTCAACTTTTGTGATTGAGGCTCGTCATGGTTTTAATAAAGTTTGTACTCCTACTTGAATCTTCTTCTCGATTTTTAGTCTTATGTTTCCTGTTTTTCAAACTCTTGAGTCTGGAAGTGGTATGTTATAAATTTCTCAATGTTTGATTTTTCGTTTGTTTTGTATTTTATATTTCTGCTTCCTAATTTTGGGTTTTTTCATCTTCTTTTACAGCAAACTGTATGGTTATTTTTTAGAGATATGTTCAAAGGAATGTGTCTTGCTATTATTCTGGGCCCACCTATTGTTTCTGCAATCATCATAATAGTGCAGGTAGGATCATCTGCTAGTGTTGACTTAACTAGCAATTATTAATACAGCATCTGTTTTTTTTTTTTTTTTGCTTGCTGCCTGGTTTCTTTGTCATTTTATTTCTTTGACTTAACTATGGTAAATGTTCATTTGCACGGTTACAGAAAGGAGGTCCTTATCTGGCCATCTATCTTTGGGGATTCATGTTTGTTCTTTCTCTTGTGATGATGACACTTTACCCCATATNCTTGGCCCACCTATTGTTTCTGCAATCATCATAATAGTGCAGGTAGGATCATCTGCTAGTGTTGACTTAACTAGCAATTATTAATACAGCATCTGTTTTTTTTTTTTTTTTGCTTGCTGCCTGGTTTCTTTGTCATTTTATTTCTTTGACTTAACTATGGTAAATGTTCATTTGCACGGTTACAGAAAGGAGGTCCTTATCTGGCCATCTATCTTTGGGGATTCATGTTTGTTCTTTCTCTTGTGATGATGACACTTTACCCCATATTAATAGCTCCTCTGTTTAACAAGTTCACACCTGTAAGTATTTATGAATTATTCGTGGATAATTTGTTTGGGTGCGTGTCGCAGGTTTGATTTATTCATTTTATTTTTCTTTGTTGTGTTCTCAAATAGCTTCCTGAAGGAGAGCTCAGGCATAAAATTGAGGACCTTGCTTCATCCCTCAAGTTTCCTTTGAAGAAATTGTTTGTTGTTGATGGATCCACAAGGTCAAGCCATAGCAATGTGAGGATTTCACTCTTTTAAATTTATTTGGTTTTGCCTGCAGGTGTTATTGTGTTACTATGATCTGATATTGGCTTTTGCATTTTTTGAAATTTTTCCCCATGATTATCTTCTATGTTTTCTTGGTCAAACTGTTCGAGGAAATTCAGTTATGCTGGTAACTGATGATTGAGCAGTATTGACCTGAACTTTTCGGGTCAATTTTGTTGAAGATTTACATCAAACTTTAATATTGAATCTAACCAGAATAGTTTTTCGCTTTTGTTTGAAATTTTGCCCTATAATTTAGAATATTGTTGCACTGTTGCAAAATGTAAGCAATGGCATTAAATGGGTAAGTCGGTGTGCTTTTGTAGTTGGAGTAGTGAGGGTTGCACTTGCATTGTTTATTGCTGTTTCTTGACCAATCTTAGAGGGATTTTTTTAATAAGATTTCCCTGCCATATTTTGCATTATGTATGTACTCTTTAAATTTGATACTTTACTGATTCATCTCTTATCTATTCTGTGCAGGCCTATATGTATGGATTTTTTAAGAACAAGAGAATTGTCCTTTATGACACCTTGATTCAGCAGGTGTGGATGCTTTCATTTGGAGAAAAAATTATATTCGTCTTTCCTAAATTGTTGTCCTTTCATGTCTTTATTTGACGAATATTTTTTTCTCATTAAACACGGGACTGTGCAGCAAACCACTATTTATGTTCAATCAAATGACTAGATATTACCCTTGTGCACTTCCATGTAATATTTTTTTTCATTTGAAGTGGGTATAATCTTGCATCTCTTTAGTTCAATCCGAAGCACTGTGGATAACCTCTTATTCCTAGTGTGTAGCTTCTTCCTTTTTGTATTATTATTGTAAATATTTTGACTTCTCTTTGTAGTATGAAAATGTCTTTAATTGATCAACCGTGGGTTTGCAGTGCAAAAATGATGAGGAAATTGTAGCTGTTATTGCCCATGAACTTGGGCACTGGAAACTTAATCATACAATGTACTCATTCATTGCTGTTCAGGTATGCTGTATTTATTTTCTTGTGAAGGCTTCTCTTTGTATATGTTTTTTTCCCTTTTCTATATTTCTACTGTTGTTTGTTCCCTGTAGTCTGAATATTACTTTGGCTTAAGTAGGGCATCAGTATTAATTATTCTCATAGTCTTTCTCTACTTTCTGATTGAAGACTGGTCTAACATCTCAACAAAGCCTTTCAACTATTTTTAATTCAAGGCTCCAACACGTGTTCATGAGCATGGTTACAAGTGTTACAACACCATGTCTTAGGATGAAATTAATTGAAATCCCAAGGCATTTTTCACTGTAGTTATGGTGTCAAAACTGAGCTCTGGGAGTTATTGTCAATGAGCTTCTGTATCAGATGCATATTGGGTAGACTCCACAAAATAAGTTGAGGAAGGTGTAAGTTTGAATTTGAGTTGGGGCTTTTAAGAAAGTGTTAAGTTTGTCAGAGGAAACCTTAATGCGAGGCTTATCTTCTCTTTTTGGCTGTCTCATTTATGGTACATTTAACAAATATCTCACTGATTGTGTTTTCATGCTGTTTCTTTTCATGCATTTTTGTGTAATTAACTAGGAATCTCTTGCTATTGTAGACAATGATGCATTTTTTGAGCAAATAAATCATGTCTGAATAGACATGAACTTTTATTGTGATAAAAATTTCTTAAGTCTGTAAGTAATTAATTAGTAAAGAGATTGCTCAAAATCTAACATAGGCTCCAATATGAGGTTAAGTTTTATTCATGTTACAGATTTATGGTGCAAAGGTACATGGTATGCTTTAGCTTTTCTTTTTGTATCCCTCAGTCTTTACCTTTAATCTTTAATCTGATCCTTTACAACAATGAAGTCTGATCAAACACAGAAGTCCATGAGCTGTTAAGCATTTAGTTTGTTGCCATAGGGCTGTTACTCCTTTATTGCTTCTTTCTTTCCACTGCTTGTGCAATGTTTAGTATTCAGATATATTGTTTTTCCTGTTTCAATGGTTACTCATATGGATATAACTGATAATCTTTTGCTTGTTGAGAAAACAAAAAAAATTAAGAGAAGAATTTTTTTTTTCCTTTTACTAAGAGAAGGTGGTTTGATATGATAACTGGCAGATTCTTACATTTTTGCAATTTGGAGGTTATACCCTTGTGAGGAACTCCAATGATCTCTTCCAAAGTTTTGGATTTGATACACAGCCAGTACTCATTGGTCTCATCATCTTTCAGGTATTTGTAATTCTCATGAAAATGAAGTGGCGTGTATTTTATGATATTTTTGCATGAGCAGAGGTTGTCAATTAATTTTTTCTCTTGCTGCAGCATACTGTCATCCCACTCCAACATCTAGTAAGCTTTGGTCTGAATCTTGTCAGCCGATCTTTTGAATTTCAGGTATTATCTATCTGCAATGCAGGCTAGTTTTGTACCATCTGTTTCTGTCTGCTTAAAACTTTTTGATACTTAATCTTAGCTGATGTAATAATTTCTGTATGTAGGCTGATGCCTTTGCTAAGAAGCTTGGTTATGCATCTGCTCTTCGTGCTGGTCTTGTGAAATTACAGGTGATTTATCTATCACTCTTGCCTTCCTTGATTAGAAATTGGTCAGTATATTTTATCTATCCAGTGATTTTCAAAGAGGTAGAGTCCTATAAATTTTTTCTGCCAAAACTGTGGGAGTTAAATGCTAACTTTTTGAGTTTATACGTTTTAAGCTAATTTGTGTCTGTCTTCTGATCTGTTGTCTCTCTTTCACTTTATTATCTTTGGTGATTTAGACCTTGCTGTTCTGAGTTCTTTGAATTTGTTTCTGTTTTGTGACTATCCCGAAAATTTTAGACTGATAATAATCCTCTGGTTTATTTCTCTTCCTCAATTGTTTTGTGAATGGGTATAAGTCTATCATTTATATTGAACTCTGACCAATAGCATGTCAGTCTGGTGTGATATTAAAGTATATGAATTTTGTTGACTTCAAACAGATATTGAAAGGTCTCATGGAGTTCAGGACTTATTTTTGAATTGCTATCTGTAACTTGAAACTATTGGAACCACAATAAAATATTACTGACAGGAAATTATGGGTTTACTGATTGGGATTGATTGTTTTTCAGGAAGAAAATTTGTCCGCTATGAACACAGATCCTTGGTATTCGGCTTATCACTATTCTCATCCACCCCTTGTCGAAAGACTGGCTGCAATTGATAAACCTGATAAAAAAGAAGACTGATGTGGGATGCGTGGCTTGTGATCTTAAATTCTACACTTGGTTGCCAGTGACAGTTAACTGCAATCATGAGGGCGGCAGCTGTAATATTAGTTGACCTGTATGAGTCCTGTTACAGCTTACATATTCCAAAATGCCTCCAGAAGGCACTTATATGTTAAGTCTAGAACTGAGTTTATGTGGAAATTCACTGAGAAGAGGAAGGAAGAGGCAAGTATGTATTGTATGAATGTATGAGCTTATGATCATAGAATTTAGAACTGCCTTGAATCCGTTGACTATTTTGTGATGATGCAGTAGATTTTGAAGTTTTGCAAAACCTCCATGTCAAATATATGTGTTAGCACATGCCCATTACGTCTTTGATTTAATCTTGGCAATAGGTTTTTCTTCCTTAAATTTCTTTGTCTTTTCACGACCTTATCTGTAAGAGTAATTAGGAGATGGATAGATTAGTTCTTTTAAGGTTGTAATAACTGTAAATGGCTCCGTACAGTCTAGGGGTGTGCAAAAAAAACCGTTAATCGAACTGAACTAGCTAACCGACCTCAAATTTTTGGGTACTTGAAAATTTGGTTCGGTTTTGTGTATTTATTATGTGATACTTGAATTTTCGGTTTGGGTATCGGATATTTATTTTAAGAGAATCAAGTACCCGATTTATTAAGAAATAAAAAAAATAAAAAACCCCTTTTATTGTTTGGGTGTAGTTGGTTCTATATTCCTAATCCTATTCTTCAAATATTGTTTGGCACATTATTTGAGAAATATTATTGTATTTTTTTAATTACTTTTAGACATCTTAGGTTTATTAATTTCATTAAATACCTCCAGAAAAAAAAGTTTAAAAGTAACAAAAACACTCCCTAAATCCATACTTGTCAGATTTCGGCAACCACCGTCGGTGGTAGTTGGAATCTGTTATAACGGCTTACACCACTACCGGAAAAGGTCGGTAATTCACAGATATGGCCGTCAAAGATAGACTTTTGCGGCCGTCGACGGCCACATTTGGCCGTAGATCTGGCTGGAAAAAGCCATATCGACGCGTTACGACACAGATCTGCCCGGTTTGTGTCGTAATGCAATTTTTCGGCCAGATTTCGACGGTAGTAGCCGAAATCTGGCATTGTGGGTGGTGGGGTGTTTTTGTCATTTTATAAAATTTTTATATATTGAAGTGTTTAATTAAATTAGCAAATCTAGGGGGTTTTTTAGAAATTTTTAAATTTTACCTCGTAATACTCCCTTATTCAACTACCCAATATTATTCCCAAAATCCTAGTTTTTAAGCTTATTTTCCTTTAACTTTCAAAGAGCAAGAGGCAAATGCCCCAAATCTTAAGTATTTAAGTTATGAAAGTTAAGCCCCAAAGTACTTATATTCACAAATTGAAATTTGAAATGTAAAAAATTAAAATTCATGCAAAGTTATGCAAAATTGGATCATAAAATGAGTATACGGTTTTTGACTCAAATATTCAGGTACCTGAAAAATTGGATACCCTTAAAAGCGGTTCGGTTTGCGGATATCCTTTTAATTCGGGTATCCGATTTTGCACAGCCCTAGTTACAGTCTGCATTCTAATTGTTAGAAGGTTGCTTCAGTATCCAGCAATCGTTAGAATGATTAGAAACAATCAAACGATGGGCTTTTTGCTAGTTGAAATAGGTACTTCACATATCAAATCGTGAGGTAGTTGGGTTTCCACCGATGTGACTTTGAAAATTTGAGTCTCCTTGGTAAATTTTAGCAACAGAATGAGGAAGAAATTTTAGTATCCATGTTTCTTCAAGTCAAAGACACGGATAGCGTGCCCCGTGAGGTCATCTCTCATTATATGGAAACTTATCTACATTGTGGTATTGGAATACTTTAGAGAAATCATGACAATGAAAAAGAAGAATCTCTCGTTATGAAAAGGTCTAAAGCCAGCCCAACAGTCATAAGCCAGAAATCATTATCAATTTCATTACAGTCCATAATGATCATGCTTGAGGTTGAGGGCTCTCCATTCCACTATTAATGTTGTTTTCCAATCAAAACGAGTTTTCTATCTTGTTTTGATTCAATTAAATATAATACTTTCATTTAAAGATTCTAAAAGATCACTTCCATTTTCCAATATGCGATTTAAAGTGGCAATTATCACAGAATGGCATTCAGTGTCCAATTCCAATAAAATATCAGAAGATAATAGTTCATAAGCTTAGCCTACAAGGCTTATTCCAAAAGTCAACACACTTATTATTTTCTTTCCAAACATCCAAGTATTCTATTGGTGGATCGCCCCCCACGATGACACAGATACGGTGACGGTTCTTTCGTGCTTCTGTTTCCGCGATCACATCTGCTATTCGATTAGTGATCTAGGGATGCCAAATGTCGCCCTAACATTGCATGATGCAGGCCGTCAAAAGTTATTAGCTTTCATGGTTTTAGAAAACTTTTTTTATAACCTTGGTTGTTGTGAATATTAATACCCAGTCGAAAATTATAATAAATATTTTATCAATTAAAGACCAAATGCATAATCCAAACTTAGATTGTTATGTCTTCAATCTTTAACATCAAGTTTTAACGGTTACCCTCTCCAGTCTCCCGGCTCCCAGTCATCTCCGTGGGCCCATATCTTTTAGACTACAAACCCAACCGCATACTTACGGACACAACATGGACGTCATTCAAGCGTATCCAACGGCATTTTAGAAACCCCCTCCCCACTTGAAAGAAAAATGAACAGCTCATTTATACAATTATATTTAACTACAACTACTTATTAATTATTATTATTACATCACCATACTCTCTCTTTCTCTGTTAATTAACTCTCCCTCTCTTTATACACTCGTTTCTTACACGCAGACACACTCCCTCCTCGCCATGCCTAAATACCTCTAACATTTTCTTCCTCCACATCAATCAACATGTCGGTATACGATGCCGCTTTCGTCAACACTGAGCTCTCTAAGCGGACGTCCATCTTTGGCCTTCGCCTCTGGGTGGTTATCGGAATCTTATTAGGTTCTCTTATAGTTCTCACTCTTTTTCTCCTTTCTCTCTGCATAACCTCTCGTCGGAAAAGGCAGAACCATCACCAACAACAACAATTACCCAAGCAAATAGCCACTAGTCCACCCATGTCTAAAGAAATTCAAGAAATCGTACACCAACCACCTCCAGTCCCCGAGATTCAAGTTGACATCGGCAAGATCGAGCATCGCGTGGTGTTCTCTGATAGAGCGTCTAGTGGAGAAAGTAGAGGGACGGGGAGTGCGTGCGATACGACATCCTTTGGAAGCGGGAGTGTTGGACCGGAAGTTTCGCATCTTGGGTGGGGTCGATGGTATACTCTAAGAGAACTTGAAGCGGCGACAAATGGTTTGTGTGAAGAGAATGTGATTGGTGAAGGTGGTTACGGGATTGTGTACAGTGGAATTTTGAGTGATGGTACCAGAGTTGCTGTCAAAAATTTATTAAACAACAGGTATAATCACTTTTAATTTCTTTTGATTTGGTTAGAGTAGATTTTTTTTTAGTTTTTTCTATAATGCTTTTGATCTAACTTAGAAAATGGGTTTAAATGTTCAAAATGTTTGTTTTTGATGTCTTTCTGAGTGGGAGAGCTGGGATTTAGATTTTATATGATATATTTTGCCATAATTTCTGCTTAGTTGGGATTTAGGCGATTGTCCATTGTTTTTAATTTCATTCCTTTTTTGTTTCTTATTTTGTGCTGTTAGTTACAGGATCTGTGCTGTAAAGTGACCTGCTTTTGAAAAAAAAATCCGATCTTGCTCGTTTTAAATTATTTTGCTACTAATCTAGCTTGAATTGATTATCTGGGCGGGAGAATTCTACCATATTTAGACGATATTTTATTAGATAAGTAATTATTATGGTTCTTGATTTGGATAAGATCTTATCTTCTTACTTTCCCTTATATGCTTGAAATATTGTTTTACTTATGAGACGGATATTATTAGGGGTCAAGCTGAGAAGGAATTTAAAGTTGAGGTGGAAGCAATTGGGCGTGTTCGACACAAGAATCTAGTTAGATTGCTTGGATACTGTGTTGAGGGTGCATACAGGTATGGATAATTAACTGTTGCATTTCTTAATTGTGACTGAGATTATACTTTTGTTGACTGTCAAGAAGACATGTAATTTATTGTCTGGTTTTGCTTTGTAGAATGCTTGTTTATGAATATGTTGATAATGGCAATCTGGATCAGTGGCTTCATGGGGATGTCGGTGATGTCAGCCCACTAACTTGGGATATTCGTATGAATGTCATATTGGGCACAGCCAAAGGGTACACCAATTCATATTCTGAATTTGATTCTATCTACATGTGTTTGAATTGATTTAAGGGATTATCACTCAAGGGTCCTATGTTTGCTATTATTTTTTTCCAAATTCTTACAGATTGGCCTACCTTCATGAGGGTCTGGAACCAAAGGTTGTCCATCGGGATGTAAAATCTAGTAACATACTACTTGATCGGCAATGGAACTCTAAGGTGTCCGATTTTGGCCTTGCTAAGCTTTTATGTTCTGAGAGGAGTTATGTAACAACTCGTGTGATGGGAACATTTGGGTTAGTTCATTCCATTCTTTCAGTCTCAATTTTTTAAAAGATTCCACTCTAATATAAAACAGGGCCTTGCTTTGGTAGGAAACTAAATCTTATTTGTTGGTTTCTGTAGTTATGTTGCTCCAGAATATGCATGCACTGGGATGCTGAATGAAAAGAGTGATGTTTATAGCTTTGGTATACTTATAATGGAGATAATTTCTGGGAGAAACCCTGTTGATTACGGTCGACCTCAAGGAGAGGTTAGTCTTGGCATAAATTTTGCTTCACTTCACTTCACTTCACTTCACAACCATGTCCCTTTGCCTGCAGAGCAGTAACTCAAAATAATTAAACAATTGCAGGTTAATTTGGTTGATTGGTTAAAAACCATGGTTGGAAATCGAAAATCTGAGGAGGTAGTTGATCCTAAGCTGCCTGAGATGCCTGCTTCAAAAGCACTTAAACGTGTTCTGTTGGTTGCCCTTAGATGTGTTGATCCTGATGCGACAAAGAGGCCTAAAATGGGGCATGTGATTCACATGCTTGAGGCGGACGACTTGTTAGTTCGTGATGTATGCTCCAAATATTTCTCAAGATCTTTCTATTTAATGTTCTAGTATACCATTGTTTTTATTCGCTAATCATTTTGACTGATCATACTAAATTGTGCAGGAACGTCGAATCGCAAGAGACTCTTCCCGTTCACATCGTGATGAAAATCATGGTATTGTAGAATTAGGTGATAAACAATTGGGTGAAGGGGCTTCTGATACAAGTGAAGGTGAAAGTGGTAGGAAGCATCATAATCCAACCAGGTGGAGATAGTGCTTTCAGTGAAGTAGGTGTCTAACAATTTATGTCTCTCCAAGTTTTATAAGCTTGTTCTTCTTCCTCTATTAGTTTCCTAGAATTCTTGTAATATCTTCAATTCTAAGAAACCAATAATTATCAATTTATTTTACATAATTTTTTTTTTTTTCCAGATATATCTTCCTCAAAGTGGGATGCATTTGTATAATTGAAAGAATTTATTCATCATTCTTATAGGAAGTGTAATTCATTGTTATATTATGAAATTTTATGTTGGTAAGATGGTTATGAGCACGTTTTAAGTTTTATTTTCCCACCTTTTATGTTGGTAAGTTTGATTTTAAGTTTGTTATATCTGTTACTTGGCATTGCTTGGTTTCTGGGCTGGTATCACCATCACTGCCAGCTACTAAAATGGATGGTTTTGTCGCTATTGTGATGGACCCTTTATACCAGCTATTTTGATGGAATTACTTATACTTAAAACTCTATATCTACATCAGGGGCCAACGCTGAATTCAGATGCTTCTGTAAAATGGACCCACTAACCAGCTAATTGAAGCAACTAGGTTTGCAACTCGTCAAGAGTTTATTAATTTATTTATCTATCCTGGCTGGACCTTCGGCGAAATGTAGTCTGGAATGGGTCAAGACTTGTGATTTTGGATGAGATATAATGGCAGTTAGCGAGGCAAGAATGATAACAATTCCGGTTGTGGTGGACCCTTCTGTCTCTAGTTTCATTCTGCAATCGCTTATTTTATGTATCAGTTTGCGATTTGGTGTTATTCATATGTTCTAGTGAAGCTGTCCTTCTCTTCCAAACTGTTATTACAGGACTTTTCGTCTAGTTCAGTATCTATAACGTGAGTGGTTTTTTGTTTTTGTTTTTGTTTTGATAGGTGAAGTCAGGCAAGAAACTGAAGCAAAGGGCCAACAGGAGTTGAGTAGTTATGATTTATGACGATTACAAATGTCTAATGAATAGTTGTTATTTGTCAAAAGATTCCTATGCAAACGACAAATCCCAAGTTTGATGCGTAAGAAAATGTTGAGCAATCAATCTTCCTAAGAGTAATCTCAACGTAAATTAATCGAGTTTGATAGACTTTCAAAATCATTAATGCTCATTGCGTGTTAATCAATTGTTGGGCTTTTTCTTCTTATCATAACTGAAGAAGACAAACTCTGTATATGTGCAATTTCATCTTGACTTGAAAAATAAGAATGGATTAAAACCAGTACACGCCCAAACATAGAGACAGCTTCTTTAATTATGAAAATTAAATGCAGCATATTATTAAAGCTTGCTTGTGAAGTGAAGAAGGTCCATGCACGTGATGCTTTTATTGTTGATCAGAGGTAGAGGTAGGGTTTAGCTATTTTCAAAATATACATTATACATTACGTGGATATTTGAATTTGATTCAATTATTTAAATAAATAATATTCACTGATATATTCCTCATATATTCCTTTCTTTGAGTAATATATTGGGCTGATTGGACCTGAATCTATTGGGCTGATTGGACCTGGGGAAGGCCCAATACAAAGCGTGTCTAGACTCTAGAGTCTTCACTTTTTTTATTATGGCCGAGGCCATCTAGAACCGTTGGACCAACAGCATGTGGCTTACGCATGAAGTTAATGACTTCGTCACAACGGTGGCTGTCAGCCTGTCACTCTTTCTCTAAAAAGATAAGGATCCGTGTTTGGTTAAGCTAACTTTGTCAAAAGAAACGTCTCTTTTTCTTCCTTTAAAAAGAAAAATAATTATTTTTCTTGTAATAGTCGTCTGAATTCTCCATTCATAGGATTCCACGTGCCCATCTGTTACTAATATTTTCGTAACAGCAAGTGACTCAACCTCTGCCCTACTCTTTAACTACAAAACAAAGCGTTCCTCACCTAAAAATCAAATACGCAACAATTATCAACGCGTTTCAGAAATTTCATACCACCATCTGCTACCTAACTCAGGTACGAATTTCTCCTCCCTTTTTTCACTTTATTGTCTCTGCAATTCATTTTCTTCTGGTTCTTTTCTTTGATTTGTTATACACTAGTAGAAATTTTCTTTAATTTTCTATTTTCTAAATTTTTAATTTTCGGTCGAATTTTAGGGTTCAACCTAGCTGGTCAATATTCCGATCTAAAAATATAACCAGTATCCAGATCTAGCGTTTGGGTAAGTTATTTGGCAAATAAATATGCGTATGTATATATTTGTTGTTTATTGTTATTATGCGTGATTATGGCCTACGATGTAATAATTGAATGAAACATGGCATGAATTGATCTATATATGTTATTTTTAAATTCTTGATTTTATATTTTTGTCTTTTTGATGATCGTTTGAAACCCTAATTGATAGATGTTTTGAAGACCTGAATAGACGATGTTACGTTGTGTGAGCAAAGCTGTGATTTCATTTGTTGAGAAATTTTGGTTTCTGTTGTCATTATTATTATCTTTTGATAAACTAGTTAAAATTTAGAAGTTTTGTCTCTTTTTGTTGGGAGGTGTAATTGTTTTTTGGTCATGTTATTGATGAACGATGAAACAAATATGTGATTTCCAGATGTTAGGTATTTTAAAAGCCAAACCTTCCCCCAATACTGGGGAGTTTGTTTTCTTGGGTCTCCATAAAATAAGGGCTTTATTTTTTTAAACCTTCCTTAAAAATATTGCTTTGGCAGGGGAAAAAACCTTTCCAAATTGATGGTTTTTCTTATGTTGGTGGGTGAATTTATTATATCTTTGACGTATAAGGTCTGACTAGGGTTTTCCCTACTATATTTTCTGGAGCTTGTTTACTCCCATGAACACATATTCGCTTTAACAGATATTTTGTTAGGGTCTTTGCTATAGCCAGTTATCAGTGCAGATATGTCAGAATATGATGTTTGATGATCTGTTTTTGTTTCCATCTTGTGCAGAAAGTACATCAAAATGAGCCGTCCACAGGGTCCACACCGCCCTTTCTTCCATTTTGGAAATCCTTTCCGAATGATATCATCCAAGGGTTCTGGTTTACCTGAAAGGCTTCTTTCTCTGTTGATTGCTTTTGAGGAAACCTTGGCCGAGAGGCTTAGGAAACTAATTCCAAAGGACAAGGATGAGGTCCTCAGTTTATCATGGATGAAACTAGCGATGGATTCACTCTGCGAGACTCACAGTGGTGTAAAAAACCTTATAACTGAGCTGGAGCTTCCTGTGAGTGACTGGGATGAGAAATGGATAGATGTGTACTTAGATATCAGTGTGAATTTGCTCGATCTTTGCATAGCTTTTAGCTCTCAACTCACAAAGCTTAACCAGGGTCATCTCTTGCTTCAGTGTGTCCTGCGTAATTTGGATTCTTCCTCTCCAAAACAGTTTGTGCGTGCCCGTTCTTCGCTTGATAGCTGGAGACAGCATATCAGTGCAAAGAACCCTAGAGTTGTGAGCTGTCACTCAATCTTAGACAATCTGGTGCGATCTTTGGATTTGCCCAAGGTTAAGAACTCTGCCAAAGGGAAAGTTTTGATGCGTGCCTTGTATAGTGTTAAGGTGGTGACTGTATTCATCTGTAGTGTCTTTGCTGCAGCATTGTCTGGATCTGCTAAGAGTTTGTTGGACTTGAACGTTTCTGACACATTACCATGGGCAGCAGCATTTTCTGCCTTGCAAGCTAATGTTAATGGGGAACTTAGAAATGTATTTGGGACTGGAAGAGTTACAGTTTTGAAAGAATTATATGCGGTTGATGCCAGCATCAAGAAATTGTATCCAATGATCCAAGATGGGGTGGAACCTGTTGAAGTTGAACAGTTTAAGAATTCTGTTATAGATTTAGGAAAGCGGGAAGAGAAACTTTCAGAGGGGCTAGATCTTCTTACAAAGGCAGTGGATGGGTTTTTCAAGATAGTTTTAACAGGGCGTGATGCTTTGCTTTGTAATCTAAGAGCAGCTGGTACCGAGTCAGTGTTAGGAAGTAATGTAGAACAGCTAGTTGGAAGGTGATCGATGAATGCAGTATACTTCATCGTATATAGGTGTTATAGGTATTGTGCCTTGTGTTATGTGGTTGTTAGAAATATACCATCAAGTATTGTGTGTGAACCATGTTGTAATGTGTGTCATATTACTGTTTTTCTGGTTTGTACATGTACTTTGTACTGTATAATACCAGTGACGTATAAAAGGAAGGGTTTGTACTACAGTTTGCTCAAGTGTCCATATTTAATATTTATATAGCTTTTACCAATAATTTCAATTTATGGGCTACAGAACTGTCTTCTATGGTTATCACGGGTATATTTTTATATTTTTTAACTAGTTTTGCCTTTGATTAACTGTTTGATGGCATGTTAGGTCATTGGGTATTGAATATTGATACATATTTATTGTAAAAAGCTTAAAATAAAATAAAAATAAAAAAGCTAGCCGAGTTTGACAATATTGGGAGAGTAACCGACACGCTGCCCTGCTATTTTGATGGAATTACTTATACTTAAAACTCTATATCTACATCAGGGGCCAACGCTGAATTCAGATGCTTCTGTAAAATGGACCCACTAACCAGCTAATTGAAGCAACTAGGTTTGCAACTCGTCAAGAGTTTATTAATTTATTTATCTATCCTGGCTGGACCTTCGGCGAAATGTAGTCTGGAATGGGTCAAGACTTGTGATTTTGGATGAGATATAATGGCAGTTAGCGAGGCAAGAATGATAACAATTCCGGTTGTGGTGGACCCTTCTGTCTCTAGTTTCATTCTGCAATCGCTTATTTTATGTATCAGTTTGCGATTTGGTGTTATTCATATGTTCTAGTGAAGCTGTCCTTCTCTTCCAAACTGTTATTACAGGACTTTTCGTCTAGTTCAGTATCTATAACGTGAGTGGTTTTTTGTTTTTGTTTTTGTTTTGATAGGTGAAGTCAGGCAAGAAACTGAAGCAAAGGGCCAACAGGAGTTGAGTAGTTATGATTTATGACGATTACAAATGTCTAATGAATAGTTGTTATTTGTCAAAAGATTCCTATGCAAACGACAAATCCCAAGTTTGATGCGTAAGAAAATGTTGAGCAATCAATCTTCCTAAGAGTAATCTCAACGTAAATTAATCGAGTTTGATAGACTTTCAAAATCATTAATGCTCATTGCGTGTTAATCAATTGTTGGGCTTTTTCTTCTTATCATAACTGAAGAAGACAAACTCTGTATATGTGCAATTTCATCTTGACTTGAAAAATAAGAATGGATTAAAACCAGTACACGCCCAAACATAGAGACAGCTTCTTTAATTATGAAAATTAAATGCAGCATATTATTAAAGCTTGCTTGTGAAGTGAAGAAGGTCCATGCACGTGATGCTTTTATTGTTGATCAGAGGTAGAGGTAGGGTTTAGCCATTTTCAAAATATACATTATACATTACGTGGATATTTGAATTTGATTCAATTATTTAAATAAATAATATTCACTGATATATTCCTCATATATTCCTTTCTTTGAGTAATATATTGGGCTGATTGGACCTGAATCTATTGGGCTGATTGGACCTGGGGAAGGCCCAATACAAAGCGTGTCTAGACTCTAGAGTCTTCACTTTTTTTATTATGGCCGAGGCCATCTAGAACCGTTGGACCAACAGCATGTGGCTTACGCATGAAGTTAATGACTTCGTCACAACGGTGGCTGTCAGCCTGTCACTCTTTCTCTAAAAAGATAAGGATCCGTGTTTGGTTAAGCTAACTTTGTCAAAAGAAACGTCTCTTTTTCTTCCTTTAAAAAGAAAAATAATTATTTTTCTTGTAATAGTCGTCTGAATTCTCCATTCATAGGATTCCACGTGCCCATCTGTTACTAATATTTTCGTAACAGCAAGTGACTCAACCTCTGCCCTACTCTTTAACTACAAAACAAAGCGTTCCTCACCTAAAAATCAAATACGCAACAATTATCAACGCGTTTCAGAAATTTCATACCACCATCTGCTACCTAACTCAGGTACGAATTTCTCCTCCCTTTTTTCACTTTATTGTCTCTGCAATTCATTTTCTTCTGGTTCTTTTCTTTGATTTGTTATACACTAGTAGAAATTTTCTTTAATTTTCTATTTTCTAAATTTTTAATTTTCGGTCGAATTTTAGGGTTCAACCTAGCTGGTCAATATTCCGATCTAAAAATATAACCAGTATCCAGATCTAGCGTTTGGGTAAGTTATTTGGCAAATAAATATGCGTATGTATATATTTGTTGTTTATTGTTATTATGCGTGATTATGGCCTACGATGTAATAATTGAATGAAACATGGCATGAATTGATCTATATATGTTATTTTTAAATTCTTGATTTTATATTTTTGTCTTTTTGATGATCGTTTGAAACCCTAATTGATAGATGTTTTGAAGACCTGAATAGACGATGTTACGTTGTGTGAGCAAAGCTGTGATTTCATTTGTTGAGAAATTTTGGTTTCTGTTGTCATTATTATTATCTTTTGATAAACTAGTTAAAATTTAGAAGTTTTGTCTCTTTTTGTTGGGAGGTGTAATTGTTTTTTGGTCATGTTATTGATGAACGATGAAACAAATATGTGATTTCCAGATGTTAGGTATTTTAAAAGCCAAACCTTCCCCCAATACTGGGGAGTTTGTTTTCTTGGGTCTCCATAAAATAAGGGCTTTATTTTTTTAAACCTTCCTTAAAAATATTGCTTTGGAGGGGGAAAAAACCTTTCCAAATTGATGGTTTTTCTTATGTTGGTGGGTGAATTTATTGTATCTTTGACATATAAGGTCTGACTAGGGTTTTCCCTACTATTTTTTCTGGAGCTTGTTTACTCCCATGAACACATATTCGCTTTAACAGATATTTTGTTATGGTCTTTGCTATAGTCAGTTATCAGTGCAGATATGTCAGAATATGATGTTTGATGATCTGTTTTTGTTTCCATCTTGTGCAGAAAGTACATCAAAATGAGCCGTCCACAGGGTCCACACCGCCCTTTCTTCCATTTTGGAAATCCTTTCCGAATGATATCATCCAAGGGTTCTGGTTTACCTGAAAGGCTTCTTTCTCTGTTGATTGCTTTTGAGGAAACCTTGGCCGAGAGGCTTAGGAAACTAATTCCAAAGGACAAGGATGAGGTCCTCAGTTTATCATGGATGAAACTAGCGATGGATTCACTCTGCGAGACTCACAGTGGTGTAAAAAACCTTATAACTGAGCTGGAGCTTCCTGTGAGTGACTGGGATGAGAAATGGATAGATGTGTACTTAGATATCAGTGTGAATTTGCTCGATCTTTGCATAGCTTTTAGCTCTCAACTCACAAAGCTTAACCAGGGTCATCTCTTGCTTCAGTGTGTCCTGCGTAATTTGGATTCTTCCTCTCCAAAACAGTTTGTGCGTGCCCGTTCTTCGCTTGATAGCTGGAGACAGCATATCAGTGCAAAGAACCCTAGAGTTGGGAGCTGTCACTCAATCTTAGACAATCTGGTGCGATCTTTGGATTTGCCCAAGGTTAAGAACTCTGCCAAAGGGAAAGTTTTGATGCGTGCCTTGTATAGTGTTAAGGTGGTGACTGTATTCATCTGTAGTGTCTTTGCTGCAGCATTGTCTGGATCTGCTAAGAGTTTGTTGGACTTGAACGTTTCTGACACATTACCATGGGCAGCAGCATTTTCTGCCTTGCAAGCTAATGTTAATGGGGAACTTAGAAATGTATTTGGGACTGGAAGAGTTACAGTTTTGAAAGAATTATATGCGGTTGATGCCAGCATCAAGAAATTGTATCCAATGATCCAAGATGGGGTGGAACCTGTTGAAGTTGAACAGTTTAAGAATTCTGTTATAGATTTAGGAAAGCGGGAAGAGAAACTTTCAGAGGGGCTAGATCTTCTTACAAAGGCAGTGGATGGGTTTTTCAAGATAGTTTTAACAGGGCGTGATGCTTTGCTTTGTAATCTAAGAGCAGCTGGTACCGAGTCAGTGTTAGGAAGTAATGTAGAACAGCTAGTTGGAAGGTGATCGATGAATGCAGTATACTTCATCGTATATAGGTGTTATAGGTATTGTGCCTTGTGTTATGTGGTTGTTAGAAATATACCATCAAGTATTGTGTGTGAACCATGTTGTAATGTGTGTCATATTACTGTTTTTCTGGTTTGTACATGTACTTTGTACTGTATAATACCAGTGACGTATAAAAGGAAGGGTTTGTACTACAGTTTGCTCAAGTGTCCATATTTAATATTTATATAGCTTTTACCAATAATTTCAATTTATGGGCTACAGAACTGTCTTCTATGGTTATCACGGGTATATTTTTATATTTTTTAACTAGTTATGCCTTTGATTAACTGTTTGATGGCATGTTAGGTCATTGGGTATTGAATATTGATACATATTTATTGTAAAAAGCTTAAAATAAAATAAAAATAAAAAAGCTAGCCGAGTTTGACAATATTGGGAGAGTAACCGACACGCTCCCACTTGAGGGTTGGCGAAATCTCAAATTGTTACCTCTGTTGTATTTATTTCAAATTTCCACCCTTAGTCATAGATGCAACAGTTGTAATTACAAAAATGCCCCTAAACCAAACATTTAGGTTGGGTGACGAATCACGATCGCTGAGCAGCCATATTGGTCGCATTTTGTGCAACTTCCCTTCTTCTTGGCCAGTTTTCAGGCGTTTCTGTCATCGGAAATCTATGCTACCACCACTATTCGATCCCTCATCAAATCTACTCTTCAAAACCCATACCAACCAATTGCTTGATCACTCACCGTTTGCAGGAAAAGCCTACTGCTTTTTTTGTGCAACGGACCACTTTGTAGCCGCTTTTCTTTTAATATTAACAAATTTTAAATTTATTTAATACATTAATTGTGAATCCTAATTGACTTAGTGCCTTATTCTTATGACACTTGTCCAATTACTTTGAATATAGACAAAAAATTAATGTTTTATTCTTATGACACTCGTCCAATTACTTTGAATATAAACAAAAATTTAATGAAGATAATGACATTTACAGACTCAAATGCTGTAAATTTTTTTAAATCAAAAAATGGACAGGCGTCCATCTAAAAGGGATGTCTGTCCATTGAATATGGACGTCCGTCCATATATTATATGGACGGATATCCATAATTTTTATCTTAAAATTTGTTAATTTAAAACAATGGACGGGCGTCAATTCTAGGTGAACGCCCGTCCATAGTAAATGGACCATCGTCTATATTATATAAACGAGAGTCCATTGTTATTTTCTCATGGACGGCCGTCCATTATAGGTGAACGACCATCCAATAATCACGGACGCCTATTATTTTGCTTTTGAAACTTTTTGGATGAGCGTCCATTATTTTTCTTTTAAATTTTTTTGGATGGGTATCTATAGTAAATGGACACCTGTCCATATAATATGAACGGGAATCCATTAAATATGGGTGAGTGTTCATAAATGTTGGATCACTGTTCATTTACGAAAGACTCCAGCGTGATCACGTCTGACTGATTGCCATGTCCTACGATATAAAAATTCGATGTAAAATTTCGATGTCTATAGCATTACTAATATTGAAATCGTTTAAGATTTCCACCTCTAATTTATGCTAGGAGTTTCCTTGTTCTCTGATGAAAACTGTTATGACTAAGAAATCAAAGGCTGACGTGGAGTTGCGTGACGAAACGTGGCCTGCCCTCGTCAGAACGGTAAGCGCACGTCAGGCCTGCCAAACGCCCTGGTGCTCCCACATGTTCGCTAGCCTGCTCCAAATCGCGTGAAATCGGCTTGGAAAATGGGTAATGGGACGTAAAATCAGATTAGGTCCTGACAATCACACCAACCTAAGGATTTTAGTGCTGAATTACCGCCATACAACTGGGTATAAGAAGAGGAAGACCCCTTCATTAAGGGGATTCGCAATTTTACACAAAAAACTCTCTCTCTCTCTCTCACGCTTTTGTATCTATTTCCCAACCCTTTGTAAGTCAGTCCGCTGTCGCAACCTGACCCCACTATCATATCAAACAAATCAGTGGACGTAGGACTTGCTACTTGAGCATCCGAACCACTTTAAAACTCTCATAGCATTTATTTCGCTTTTTATCATTTTCACTTGTGCTTTTTGATCAATCAACGCTGCACACGTATCGGTTAGTTGGTGCCCAAAACCGAGCATCAACAGTTTGGCGCTGAAGGAGGACTGTTTAGCGTCTACCCTAATCAGAGAATCTTTGACCTACTGGTCCTACAACACATGACCCTCCAATCTGAGCCAGAGCAAGCTAATCAGCGTACTGAGAAGTTCCAGTTTCCCAAAATGCTGCGGGGGTGTCCCGGCAGCTCCGCAACTTGACACTGCCATCAGAAACTACCTGAGAGGTTCAACAATATCTCTAGACGGTCAACCAAAGGTTGGACTGTTTGACCAAGCATGTCATCTACCACAGCTAGGGCGGTGCAACCCCAAGAGACCTGCAGTCACGCGAAAGCGCAGCAAAAGGCAATAGCCCGTGCCGCAGCACTGCAGCGCGTAGGCGCAAGGGTAAGCAAGTGGCAAAAATAGGCCTACGGCTCCCAAGGACCAGCGAACACAAAAGGTGCCCCGAGCAGGGTATCGGCGAAGCTAAGACTCGGCGAAAGATGAATCCCGAGCTGTCCCATGCCACGTCACAGGCAGACCCAAGCGAAAATGCTGGGCGCGATGATTCCTATCACCACCATAGAAACCCCCGATCATTATCATGCGGGTGGCCCCACACCTCCGGGGCGGTTCGTACCCACCGCGAGGGTCGTGAAAATGCCCCGCACAATCCACCGCCTTCACACGCCCTAGTCAGCGTGTGTCGAGTGCGGCCTAAATGCCGGCCGAGGCGAGGAGGAATCCGACCTCCGGACCTCTGAACCGCAATCGAGAAGGCCGGACTCGCACGGGTGAAAGCAATCCCCAATTGGCTCCGTTACCACAAATTGGGAGTTACAGCGAGCTCTGGACAGGTTGAGGAGCAGCAAAACGAACAAGCGCAGGTCGCCTCTGCATCCCCTTTTTCTCCCGAAGTGCTACTAGTCCACTTCCACCAGGTTCAGAATGCCAGATATGCGCCGTTTGTGGAACTTGATCCTCAGGATCACTTATATGAGTTCAACGACCTGATGGCTCCACTAGATTTCGGACCTTGCAAAATGCCGTTGTTTGGCCGTGACTTGACTTCTCCACGCCAAGCGGTGGTTAAGGTCACTCCCGGCGGGATCGATCAGTTCGTGGCCTCAATGAGCACGACGTTCCTGCGGCATTTCTAGCCAATCGGAAGTTTTCGATGCCTTTGAGCTACCTCAGCACATAAGGCAAGAAAGAGACAATCCTTGCAATCTTACTTGATCGATTCCACAGGAACTCACAAGGTGGCCCACGCTCCGAAGAGTCCATCCGAACACTTATAATGCTGGAGTTCGCCCGCAAACCACCTGTGGAAAGAACTGCGGCTGAGGACGATATTTCCCTCACCAGATTCTACAACCTGGCAGAAAAGTATCTCCGAATAAGAATTCATTGGCGGCACTCCGCCGTCACGTCACGGCACTTCCAGCATTATGTCTGGTCGGGGAGATAGTAGGAGAGCTGATCGCAAAGGAGACATTGACGATCACGAAAAGGAGAAAACCCTGCTACAGCAGAAAAAATCCTATGCTTCTGTTCCTCGTCGCGACCGCGACAGGACTCAATACACTCCGTTAACGTGTCCTATCTGTAATCCTCGACAAATCTGAGGAGGCCAGTTTCTCGGTGAGCCCGAACCAATGAAAACTCCTGCTACGCGCAAAAAACAGCAAAAAAATCTGTCGTTACCATCGGGATAACATGCATCACACTGATATGCCGAGCTCTAAAGCAGCTATCGAAGAGCTCATCAAGAAGGGGCACTTCAAGGTGTACATCGATACCCCCAAAAGAAAACCAAGGGGAGCAAAAGAAAAGCATCGTGGATCGCAGCGGGTACAGCATTGTGAACATAATTTTCGACCGCACCTCGCTGGAAACATGCGAGGAGCGCAGGAAAGGTTAGCTCGCGAAGCGCATCGCCCGATCAGGGTAATGAACACTTCGCAGCGACCTCAAAAAGCCAGAAAGGAGGAACCAATCACCTTTTGCGAGAAGGGCAGCTCGCTTGCACCATCCTCATGAGGATGCTCTAGTGATCACGCCCCTGATAGGGTGTCATAAGTGTCTGCAGAATGCTTGTAGACAACGGAAGCGCTGTGAACATCCTGTTCAAGTCCGCTTTCGATAGAAGAGACCTGGTCGAGGCCGACCTGAGCCACCTCGATGCCTCTGTACGGTTTTACAGGGGATCACCTGATCCCCAAAGGGACGATCCAGCTACCAGTCATGCTCGGCGACTACGACGAGGTGACTAGGGTTACTGAATTTTTGGTCGTGGACTGCCCGTCGGCCTTTATGGAATCTTGGGGCGACCTCTGCTGAAAACCTTCAGGGCAGTCACTTCCATTTATCACCTCAAGATGAAGTTCCCCACTCACAGAGATCGGAGAAGTAAGCGGATCGCAAAGAGCATCTAGCGAATGCTATGTAAAAGCGGTACAGATGGCAGATAAGGGCATTTCGCGATGTGTGCCCCTCAGCTATACGATCAGCCATCGAGCCACAGCCTGGTTGCAGCAGGATAACATAGATCCGTGAATCTAAAATCCCCCCCAGTGGCCGGTTGAGGATCTGTCCGAGGTTTCGGTCGATCCAAAGAGCCGAGCCGAGCCGAGTGTTAAGATTGGAGCTGTCTCAACCTACAGCTCGTTCCGAGCTGGTAAGCTTCTTAAAGAAACATTGACGTGTTTGCCTGGTCGCACGCATAATGGTCGGGATCAGCCAGACATTATTGCCATTCATTGAATGTTAGCAGTGAAGCCAAGCCAGTTCACCAAAAAGAAGGGCGATGGATCTGGAGCGGTACGCCGCACTAAAATCAGAAGTGAGAGCCTTCTCCGAAATGGATCCATTCGTGAGGCTCTCTCTACCCGACCTGGGTTGCCAACCCGGTCCTGGTAAAGAAGCCGAATGGCAAGTGGCGGACCTGCGTAGACTTCAGTGACCTCAACAAAGCTTGTCCAAAAGACAGCTTCCCCTTGCCGAAATTGACCAGCTCGTTGATGCCACCTTAGGGCACGAGCTGTTAAGCTTCATGATGCGTACTCGGGATACATTCAAATCCGCTGATGACCAGATGA